CCTCTGTAGCTCAATTGGTAGAGCGTGGCGCTTGTAACGCCAGGGTAGTGGGTTCGATCCCCGGGACCACCAATACGTACAAATGTATGCACACATGACTGTAAGTCGCTTTGGATAAAAGCGTCTGCTAAATGGCATATTATTATTATTATTATTAATGAGTTTGAGAGTGGTTACATTTCTCCAGCCCCTCCCTCAGCTGTGTATGAAATCAGTGGTGGGGAGGATGCTTTGTTATTGTTCGAAATGCAGATTGGCCCTTTAATCAAGTAATTGATTTGTTCTAATCAAGCCATGCTTATTTAAGTTGCCAGGGGGACATCTAGAGGACAGTGTCAGCACAGGGTCAACACAGAGCTATAAAGGCATTATCAAGATCTATAGATCATAGTGTTGTTATCAACACTCTGTTTACATTTGGTGATCATCGGGATGGGAAAGAGATCATAAGAATAGCCACAACTTCACACAAAACATATGCACGCACACACAGACACACAGACACAGACACAGCACAGCAGCACTCACAAGGGTATTGAATCTCTTTAGTCACAGCAGGGAGTCTTTGATTCCAGATTAAATGGGATATTCTGCTATAAAGAATTCTGTCTGAAAGTTCTGGAGCAAAACGATACGCTCAAACACTCAGAAAACAGTAGTCTAATAGACATTCATGTAAATTCCACAGAACAAGTTAAATAAGGTCACGATGATGTAAATTCCACTGTCTGAACAAGTTAAATAAGGTCACGATGATGTAAATTCCAATGTCTGAACAAGTTAAATAAAGTCACGATGACGTAAATTCCACTGAACAAGTTAAATAAGGTCACGATGACGTAAATTCCACTGAACAAGTTAAATAAGGTCACGATGATGTAATTACCACTGTCTGAGCAAGTTAAATAAGGTCTCGATGACTTAAATTCAACTGTCTGAACAAGTTAAATAAGGTCACGATGACAACCTTTTAAAGGGGCAATCTGAGATTCGACCTGCCACTTGTTTTGGTAAACAGCTGAGTGATGGGGCTGGAGAAATGTAACCACACTCAAATAATGCATATACAGAGCAATGGATGCAAGTGAGAAAATAAATCGGTCCGTGACTCAACTCACCTCACCTCCGCAGGATGCGTGTGACATAGTTTAACAGACTACACAACCAGACGGTTCTTTATGTAACAAGGGAAGTCATATTGAGATGGATCTCTTTTCTAAATGTCGCTTGTTTGTCACTTACTCAAATCATTGTCTTGTAGCTATTTGAAAAGAGTCTGTTGGGAAACACATTACCTGAAGTTAAAAAGTCCCATAGCCATCGTGTAGGAGCTTCGGTCTCCCGAGTGGCGCAGTGGTCTAAGGCAATGCATCGCAGTGCTAGCTGTGCCACTAGAGATCCTGGTTCGAATCCAGGCTCTGTCGTAGCTGGCCGCGACTGGGAGACCCATGGGGCGGCGCACAATTGGCCCAGCGTCGTCCAGGGTATGGGAGGGAATGGCCGGCAGGGATGTAGCTCAGTTGGTAGAGCATGGCGTTTGCAATGCCAGGGTTGTGGGTTTGTTTCCCACGGGGGGCCAGTATGAAAAATAAAATAAAAAAATAATGTATGCATTCACTACCTGTAAGTCGCTCTGGATAAGAGCGTCTGCTAAATGACTAAAATGTAAATGTAAAAATGTGTTGGCCTCTCTCTTTATCTTGATTCACAGGGGCAGGAGCACTGTCGCTCTCATTTCAAGTCATTATAAAAGGATGATTGATATCATGTGAGACAAACATTACTGGAGCGCGAGCTATCATATGATGCAAACATTATGATCAGATGCTTCTTATTTAGTTATCAGACCACTGAGCATGCTTGCCCTTACAAAAGAGGTTCGTACAGTAAAGGTGGTTTCCCAGAGATTAACCTTAGTCCTGGACTAAAAAGTGAATTAGGATTAGGCTTAATCTGTGTCTGGGGAAATAGCCATCTAAAAGTTCAGGTTTCAATCATAACTCCGCTAACATGAGCAACCAGAAATGAGTGACATCTACAGTACAGTGTAATCAATGTGATCTATATTGTTTGTGAACCCAATGACAGTGAGTTGTGTGGGAGCAGCAGAGTGGGCTGCTATTTCCTGTGTGCATGTTGCTCTGTCCCTTAGGAATGTCTTTCTTCTGCCTCTGTAGATTTAGTAACCTTTCCCCCTGCTACTAGCCTGGGCCTGAATCCGTTTGTACTCTCATGCCAACTCCAGCTAGCGTGACAATCCATCTGGGACAAGGCTATTTCTCTTTGGAACAGGCTGCTGGAGGTGGCCGTACTGTCTGGAAGTGAACTCGCCTGCAGGAGTTTGCCAGCATTGGCCTGGAGCAAGGTTCAGTTAGCCTCAATACAAGGGTCTTCTTCCCTAAAAGCCACTTTCTGTCATTTCAACAGGCCTGAATCAATGGGATTAATTGAAATAACCATTAAACAGCAGGGACAATGGCAGAATGTGGTATTAAGGCTGAAGCACTGTTGAAACCATTGCTCAGTTAGCCTGTAATCCACAAGGTTCTATCTTTCTTGGAACACCGCTAGATCAAACCACAGTTGAGTCCATAAGGAGGGAGAAGCTGAGGGTGAACCCTAACAGACATACCTGCCATATCAAACTTTATTGGTCCTCATTAGAATGACCCAGCTCTCTAGGCCTTGACAGCCCGATTATCATGCTGGGCCCAGTATGTATCAAACGTCTCAGAGTAGAAGTGCTGATATAGGATCAGATTTCCCCCTGTCCATGTCATCTTATTCATTATGATCTAAAAGGCAAAACTGATCCTAGATCAGCATTCCTACTCTGAGACACTCCCTTGGGCTCCTACAGCCCCTGAGCTCCCTCCATAGTTATTTATAGCATGAAAGGAAGTTTGCCAGTGCCACTGGTTGTCTTCATACATACTGTAGGCTATAACCCATTGGCTGTGGTAAATGTAATGGTGGGGGTAGGGAGTTGGTAAGGAGGCAGAAATTGCAGAATAACTACTGTGCTTTGTTTATTTTTCATAAGTTAGGCCTGTTTCTCTGTGGTGAGGTCGGTGGCTGTGACAGATACAGATTGAAACCGGTGCTCTGCTTCTGTTGACTGGGAATCAATTGCTAGATGGTATGATGATTACAGCGCGTCTGCTCTCCGTTGTGCTGGGGTGGAGGTAGTCTCGCATTGCAAGACATTACACCATACAGTATTCTCTAACATGGGAACCTATAACAGCTAGTGTCGAGGCTATGGTGGAGGGCATGGATGACATCAGAGCTCAGGTTAATGTACTAGCCTATATTTCCAATAGCCTGGTCCCAGATCTGTTAGTGATGTCTTGCAAAAAAGATCTGGGAACAGGCTATATTTCCACAGATCTACCAAATGAATCAACTGCTACCACATAATAGACTATGCAGTAATAATTTTATTCGATTTGGCCACCAGCCTGCTCTTTCTCTAGCAGTTAGCCTGGGGATGAGGTTTACAGTATATGATGTGTAACTCATTAAGTCATATGAGTTAAATAGGGACAAGCATTATGCTTGGATGTAATTGTTCCATTGAACCACAGTAATGTCTGTGCCCCATATCTCAGCAGCTGTTCCAGTGTTCCACAGCCTAGTTATCACAGATGGCTTCATACTGATGGCAAATAAAGAGAGGTGATTGGTTCTCTGCTTGAGTGCCATTGACACATTTCCTGAATGCTGCAAAAACTGACTAGAGAGCAGATCAGTGTTGTCGTATTCATCAGCAAAACGTTTTGCAACAGAAAACGAAAATAGGTATTTCTTATTGGACAAGTCCAAGGAAACCTTCCCTGTTTCAGTCTGTTTTCTTCCATTTGGCGTAATGAACACTACCCAGGCTTTGTGTTCCCCTCCAACCAACCCCTCCAATTCAGTTCCATTCCATCTCCCACATTTCCTACTAGAACATGGTATTTTCATCCATCTATCTATGTAGAATTTCCAAAACCCTACATTTTATTCCAACTCCAATGTATTCCACTTTTCACCACCTTTTGAATAGGAGGGAGCTGACGTCTGAAGTTCAACCTAAATTGAAATCGACCCCAATTCCTCTGGTAGTTGCTGACAGAGCAGAGCTGCACCTCTCTGCCTTTTCATTCAACAAGGCTGCAGCTGTAGCGTTTAGCCAGATGTGACTCAGCGGTGTCCACTAGCATATTCAGTGTTTCTATGTTTATCCTCCTCAATTCCAGAACGCATGGCTTGTGTGTGTGGCTGGTGACAAGACACAGACACTGCAAAGAGCAAGATGTTAATTTCTTCTCCTCTCTAACTTTATTTATTCCTAGCACAAAGACAGTATTGTTTTCTTGTGTTGGGCTAAATATTACCACATGGAGCTATTTGCTGAATTGCCACAAATAAAAGAAACGAGCCAACACACCAGCTATTAAATAATTAAACCAACAGTCATGTGGGAAATATCATGTCGCCGATTGGCTGAGGGAACATCATCTAACTGCACTGTGTTGCCAGATCCAAAATCCCACTAAAATCTACTAAAAGTAGGGGGCACTCTGGGGTTGTTTATTGGTGTAAATGAGAGATGCCATATATCTTTCATAGCAAATGCACCAATATATAATACCTGTCAGAGGAGGCTGGTGGGAGGAGCTATTGGAGGACAGGCTCATTGTAATGGCTGGAATGGAATTAATGGAACGGTATAAAACACATCAAACATATGGAAACCATATGTTTTACTCCGTTCCATTTATTTCATTCCAGCCATTACAATGAGCCCATCCTCCTATAGCTCCTCCCACCAGCCTCCACTGATACCTGTAGATTCTACAGAAAAACATTGTATGCTATTACTCTGTGTGTTCTAGTCTATGACTATGTTCTGTTCAGCTTTTCAGCTGGGAAGGCATCTGTGGCGCAGTCTGATGATAACGTCAACAACAGAAGCAGGAAGTACTGACTTGAACCTGGATGCCAAAAAACCACAGCCATGTGCTCCATGAACAATCCAAACTGGGTGACCTTCGAGGATGAGGGTACTATATCTACGACCCCTTCTTTGGCCTCCTTGAAGATCCCAGGGAGTGGGACAAAGTTGGCCTTAACACCCCTGAAGTCACCAGGGGCAAAGACAGGGTCACTCCCTTCCTTTGCCTCTACAGCCCTGAAGACACCCCCAGGTAGTGTGACAATGACAGGGTTAAAAACAGTCCCCCGTCCCAATGGCCTAAAGCTGGTACTCCCCCCAGTGGGAGATCCATCCTGGAGCTTCAGCAGTTCCCTTGAATTCAGCTCCCCTCCAATGCACTTTAACATCAACGGAAGTTCCTGTGTGCCCTGCAACACTCCTCTCTGCACTCCGGTGAGGGAGGCTCCTCCTAGCGGTGCATTACCTTTCCATTGCAGGTGCTGGGATCAGCACGACTTCTTCCGTAGTTTCTCCAGTTCATCCTCTGCCTCTGCCACCATACCTTCTTCTTCTCCTCCCCCAGGCCTAGACCAGGCCACCCCCACTGGCACCACCCCACATCCCCAGAGTGACATCTCTGTCTCCGATGGCCCCGGTCCCTTCCCTTCCTTCCAGGGGGACCCGGGACATTTCAACCAGTTCTGGGAGGGGGCTGGTGGGCATAGCATGGACTCTGGGAGCTCCTCTTCTGACTCTGAGTCTGGAGGTTCTAGTCTGCCTCGCTTCTTCATCAAGCCGAATGACGGCAACGAGCGTCCTCGACCAGACGACTTCCAGAGCTCCTACTCCTACATCTGCCACAAACTGGAGGGCCTGCGGGCTGAGGAAGACCATGATACAGAGGAAGGAGTAGTGGTGGATAGAGGGGAGAGGAGAGGAGTGAGAGACAGGGAGGACGTCAGGGAGGGACCATCGGCAGCCTTCGTCTCTCACAGTCTGTTCCGTAGCGAGAAGAGAGACGGCTGGTCTTTAATGCTGAGGATCCCGGAGAAGAAAAACCGAATGTCGTCCCGACAGTGGGGCCCCATTTACCTGCGTCTGCTGTCTGGAGGGGTGCTCCAGATGTACTATGAGAAAGGACTGGAGAAGCCCTTCAAAGAGTTCCAGCTGCAGCCTCACTGCAGGTTGTCAGATCTCAAGCTGGAGAGCAACGGAGAGCCTCGCAAGATCCAGACAGTGAAGGTGGAATACGTGTCTTACACAGAGAAGAAGCGCTACCACCCTAAGGTAAGAGGGGCAGACACAATTTGTTTTTAAATCACGTTTAAAAAACACCTTTTTATTATTGTTATAGATATCATCGTATTGTTTTACTGTGTGTTGCGATTTTAAATACATCAAGTCTGATTTGATTTGAAGCTGGAGGTGTCCCACGAGGCCGAGGTGGAGCAGCTGCTGAAGTTTGGAACCACGGAACACTGCGACATGGAGGACCTGTTAGAGACCATGGAGGAGGAGATTCTCAGGCTGGCTCCGCCCCTGTCGCAAAAACGGCCCTACGAGGAACAGGAAATGACACTGCAGATCACAGACCACCTCTGGGTGCAGCTGGACAAAGTACATTCACTTCATCTTTCACTACCATACAACTACTGTAAGATAGCACACACATTCTCTTCAGGAAATGTACCTTTGTTAGTGTAGTTCATTGTTATTTCAGCATTATTACAGGTATTACAGGTCATTATTAAAAACTGATGAATTACTTGCTGTTACTTATTATATAAAACATTGATAGCCTAAATAAGAAGGTTATACATTTCTATGAATGTCTTTTTGCTAAAATCTTTCACAAAAAGTATTCCTTACCTCCTATTTTGACATATTGCTCCTTGGGGATCATTTTTTGCCACTCGACCTCTCAATGACTAAAATCTTAAAATACATTTTTCAAGGATGGTGTGGTGATGGACAGGGCAGCCATGACGAGGATCTACTGCCTGGCGTTCCTCAACGGACCAGGGGAGTGCTTCCTGGCTCTCAACGACCTGGGGCTCCTCCGCTTCGACGCCAGCTACGGCTCTGGCTCTGAGGAGGTTGGGTATTAGTTTCTTAACACACATATCAACACAAACATACAATTTAACTTGCATATCAAAAGACAACACGATTAGTAGAATCATCCAGGATGACACAAATAAGTCAAGACTTAGGTCTATTTCCATTCTGGTCCTCTAATTTCCATTGTGGTCTTTTAGGACGACCTCCTGGAGGGCTGGATGGAGATCAGCGACTGCCACTTCCACAAGTGCATCAATGGCCTGGAGTTCCACAGGTCCCGGCTGCTCAAGTTCTCTCCTCCGGACGCCTGTAGAGTAGAGCTGATGCGCTACAAGACGTTAGCCCTGGGATGTACAGAGTTACCGTTCTCCGTCAAAGCCGTGGTGACTGTCCAAGGGGCCTACGTGGAACTCCAAGCCTTTCTCAACATGTCAGCCGCCTTCCCGTCATTTACCGGAGTGTCGGAGACTGAACCGCTCTGCGAGAATGTTCTGATCCGTGTGCCGGTACCGGCGGACTGGGTCAAGGTGTCGCGCACTGTGACGTTGCTACGACGGAAGTCACTGACAGCCAGGATGAACCGGAACGTGTGTCTGGGGTCGGTCAGTGCTGTGGAGTCACAGCCGGTCATGCAGGTTACTGTGGGGACAGTCAAGTATGAGAATGTGTACTCAGCCATGGTGTGGAGGATTGACAGACTGCCTGCTAAGAACATGGGTAAGGACTAAGAGGAAGAGTCTGGCTGTCTTTGATGATCGATTGATGATGGAGGTCTATTGATAATCTCTTTTTGTATGGAATGCTGGCTTATTCTGACTTGGCTTTATTTTACATGTTACATTTACAACTTACTGAAATATGTTTCAATATAAGCTATGTTCAAATGTAACTTATGTTCCCTAATCAGTTTAGCTAAAATACATAAACTCTTTATAGTATTATGGTTTTTTATACTACAGCTTGGCTAAATAAATACTAAATTCTGTTGTTTGCATTGTGCCAGAGGATGGAGACCTGTATCTTTCAGATTCTGCTCATAGTGCTCCCCCAAGTGCTAGGAATTGTTAACTACACATGATCAATTTTCCCTCTCACAGCAGTAGAAACTCCCCAAACCTTCTCCTGTAAGTTAGAGCTCGGTTCGGATCAGGAGATCCCCACTGACTGGTATCCGTTTGTCACGATGGAGTGTGAGATGGTGGGGGCCGTGGTCTCACAGACCAGAGTGACGTCACTGGGCACAGACAGTGACGTTCAGCCTCAGAAACATGTCACCAGTAGGACCCACTATCATTGTCAGGTAAGGCCTGAGATATTATTATATTAGATAACAAGTTTAATATCTATAATGTTTTGTATTTATAATGCTGTTTAATATCTATAATGCTGCTGTTGATCTTATTTTTGGTCGTTTCTATTTTGATCTATTTTTGTTAGTTCCCAAGCAGAATCTAGCTTTGCGATTAATAAGGGTACTGGGTATATATTTCAGCCAACACAAAATGTTGTCTAAAATTCCGTAGTTATTACTGTGACACCAGCTGACAAAGCTGGTCCCATACTGCATGTGCTGTCGTGTAGCAAACTCTTCTATCGTTCTCCTGCCCCACTGGGCACACACTGGTTGAATCAACGTTGTTTCCACGTCATTTCAATGAAATGATGTTGAACCAACGCGGGAATAGATGTTGAATTGACGTCTGTGGCCATAGTGGTTATTCCATAATGAAACTGAACCGTATCGGTCTGTCCTTTTTATAGGTGGAAATTGAGAAGAAGTGGATTGAGACAGAAGCACAGAGGCAATCAGGCTGCACAACACAGTAATGATGATCATCAAGGAAGTCTTACAGGATCAAGTCTCACATTACCATACTCCCAAGTCTCATTCGTCGTGAGGAAGCCTTGAATCGAGACACAGGATGCCTTGATCCAAGACATTTTGCCAACCGAACTCATCCTCCCTGTTTCAATACAAGGACATAACCTACATTTGGCTGATGAAAACTTGTTTTTATATTGTGTGTTCTTTATGTACATCTTATCACCTATAAGCCTGACATTCCATAATATTGTTTGGCCCTGTTGTAACCCTGTGTATGGTTATTAACATGTTGTAACCTAGCCTGGGTGCCAGACATGACAATTCTGTAAGGAGTTGGCAAGAGAGCAGAAAAAGACTGGCAGCCAGGCTAGGTGTAACCTACATGGTAGAATAGAAGTAGGCTACAACAAACTAAAATATTACTATTGGAGGAACGAAGAACCCAACACAAAGCCCTACCATCACAATGCACTTTACAGTTCTCTCAGAAGATTATTCATTGTGAAATGACAGGAGGTTGCAGAAGCTCTCTTTATAAAATAGGAAATAACTTGTAACCTTGTAGACTTGCATTTAACACACTCACAGGGCCGGTTTCCCGGTCACAGATTAGGCTAAACCTTGTCCTGGACAAAAAAGCACTTTCAATGGAGATTGTCATTGTGATTGCATTTTAGTCCAGGACAAGGCTCAATCTGTGTCTGAGAAACTGCCCCATTGTGTTTAGGCCTATTTCCAATAACTATTTGGAATGTATTTTCAATGAAGGAAAAATTGGGTTGATCCCCTAATTTGTTGTTTAGCTAGCTGACCATGGCCTTTTTGAACAACTAAGCATGTGCACTCATCTCTTATTTTCCCATAGGTCAATATCATTGATTTATGGTTATATAACCCTAGGGATGCAGGAATGGTCTGCATTCACACAAATAAAACGATATAACTAAAAGTATTAAACGTATTGTATGTGTATATGACTTCAGTGCTAGTTATAAGTAAAACAAATTAAAGAAATTTGTTTTTTATGCATGCGTTCGTGTGAAGAGGGGAGGGGTAGAACAAATGTAGAGGTCAAATGTCACACACCTGTGTTGGCGTGGACAGTCTGCAGTTTGAAGTAGCTAGCTAGCTGTTTGTAGTTAATTAAACCAAGGTCTGCTGTATCAATGTACATCTAGGAAAGAAAGACCAAAACCACAGATGTGTTCATATTGAAATAGATCATTCCCGTCAATATTTTCCGTTTGTGTGCTGTCATCTGCCTAACTAACTAACTAGCTAGCTAGCTATCTTGCTTACCTCGCGCTAGCTTGCCAGACCAAGGCAGCCGATCATCTTAGACCTTCAAAATGCTATCAAATTCAAGTAATGTGGTAAGGAACAAGTAGCCCAGAAACGGATCATTATGTTGTTGTTTTGGTTAGTTAGTACCTTGATAATTTGTCACAACATAGCCATGTCACTAACTTTACTCTTCTTGATTGCCAAACGGTCAATTAGCCAAATAGCTAACGTTAGCAACAACTAGTTAACTACATACTGTTAACTAGCTAACTAATGGTGCTTCCTTGTATCCTCCTTGAAAACCCCTCCAGCCGAAGCTCTACCTGTCCATCATAGATGATGTGATTGAGAGCATGCGGGAGCTGTTTCTGGATGAAGGACTGGAGGACCGTGTCCTTGATGACCTGAGGCAGGTGAGTGGGACTTTACCTGGACCAAGGATTTGAAAAAGCGCGATCTTCTCCCCTAGTACATATCGACTCAATATCGCCATCCTTTGGGATACTTCTCCCATTTCGCCAAGCTGACGTTAGTCCTCCCTGACTGGAATGACTTCACTTTGTCACGCACAGTGGACTAAACTGCCATCTTCACAAAAAATAACTGCAATCATGGAAGTATATAAATACTGCAGAATATACAGTATCACATTGAAGTGTGTAGTTTTGAAGACCTACATGTTGAAATCAAGAAAAGAGCATAGGCCCTACTGCAGTAATACTATTGCTGTGTAACTGGAACTGCAATCATATTTGATATGGCTTATGTTCTGTCAAATCAACTAACTAGCAAACCAACATTTTATTTATTTAATCTGTAGCTCTGGGAGTCAAAGATTCTGCAGTCCAAAGCAGTGGATGGCTTGGCCCTCATGAAGAACACCATCAGCTCATCCAACTTTGTGCTGCAGCTCCCTCCAAACTATGGACAGACTTTTACAAAACCTGCAGGTAGTAAGTTGGTCATGTTTTTATGTCCAAGGGTACTTTCCAATTATCTCCTTCCTCCCAAAGTGTGCACTTGTTCACTTCGCTTCACTGGAAATATGGTGGAAACTCCCTCCCATGCCTCCACCAATCCAATGCTTTTAGATTTGTTGGAAGAAGTGTAACAGTGTAAACTTCAGGAAAATTAGGTATTATTGGGACGCACCCAAAGACTTCACCGCACCCATTGCTATCCAGGCCTATGTCACAAATCAATGAGTTGATTATTATTATTATATTATTATTGATCCACCATATAGGGTAATGGTTGCATTTTCTACACTGTGTGAGTGTTATGATTAGTTTCTCGGGTATCAAAGAATCAAGGATGCAAGGATATACTTAGACACTTTGTAGACAGTTAATGCAAATGTTTAATGATCGGTACCGTGTTCATTACAACAATGAACAGAGCTTTGCCCTTGGTGTTACGAACTAACTTGAACAAAGAAGACACTCTACCTTATATACCCTTTATTACCCTCTTCCTGGCATACATCTGGTAAGTCTCCATGGGCACTCCCTGTCTTTGATGTTCATCACCCTTACCCCAAGTCAGTATTCTGTCCATCAATCATGCTGTCCTAAACATCAGTAATCTACTTTGACATAATGGAATGTAGACTTTCTGTCTCCTAACCACTTATCTAGTAACTCTAACCTGTTCCCCACGATACTATGACATGACATCATTACACTATAAAAACATCATATCAGTGAGTTAATCAGGCCAATTGATTATTGAATGCAGATCGCTATGCTACTTATTTAATTGATTAGCCTAATCATTCCTTCCCTCTTTCTTCTTTCATCCCCAGCCTCTATGGTGATCCCTGCAGGTCAACACATCCAGAGTTTCACAGCTAAGGCAAGTTACACAAAACTGTCCTACATTTGAAGTACTTAACTTTTGTTGTGCATAATATCTGCAAACCGCTGTTTGGAAGAAGAGCTTACTGGTAGCCTGTAGACAAAATAGCTTACTGGTAGCCTGTAGACAAAATAGCTTACTGGTAGCCTGTAGACAAAATAGCTTACTGGTAGCCTGTAGACAAAATAGCTTGCTGGTAGAGGTAGATTTACAATTTAGTCCTTCAACTCAAGCTAGTAAGGTACGACAACCACATATCACTGTCATAGTATGTAAAACTTCCTTCAAAATATGTGTATAATGTTGGAGCCAAACACTGATTGATATGTCAAGTTGTCAATAAGGAGTTAAGAAGCTTGATCAGAGCCAGGTCAGCACCAATGATCAGAGCCAGGTCAGCACCAATGATCAGAGCCAGGTCAGCACCAATGATCAGAGCCAGGTCAGCACCAATGATCAGAGCCAGGTCAGCACCAATGATCAGAGCCAGGTCAGTACCAATGATCAGAGCCAGGTCAGTACCAATGATTGTTTTGTGGCAGTAGTAGCCTATTACATCTGACTGAGAGCGCAGCCTTTACCGGCACTCTGGTTTAACCAGGCTGGCCTATTCCTACTGACTCAGAACTAGGGAAACCACCTCCTTGACCTCGTGGTAATGATCACACCAGGATAACACTCCTTTGGCTCCTTTAGCAGCAGTAGCTATTAAACCCCACCGAGAGATTGACCTGGGAGAACTTATGTGGTTCTGTACACACCAGGTCTGGGATGGCACTATATTAACCATACAAAGGATGGGGAGATGGGGCACACTTTCATTTAGGCCTAGATATGGGCAGAGCGCAGGAAGGTAGAAAGAAAGTCAGTCTCTAGAGCATCCTGTTGTTGGGCAGCCTGGGTTGTCAGTCTCTAGAGCATCCTGTTGTTGGGCAGCCTGGGTTGTCAGTCTCTAGAGCATCCTGTTGGTGGGCGGCCTGGGTTGTCAGTCTCTAGAGCATCCTGTTGTTGGGCGGCCTGGGTTGTCAGTCTCTAGAGCATCCTGTTGTTGGGCAGCCTGGGTTGTCAGTCTCTAGAGCATCCTGTTGTTGGGCAGCCTGGGTTGTCAGTCTCTAGAGCATCCTGTTGGTGGGCGGCCTGGGTTGTCAGTCTCTAGAGCATCCTGTTGTTGGGCAGCCTGGGTTGTCAGTCTATAGAGCATCCTGTTGGTGGGCGGCCTGGGTTGTCAGTCTCTAGAGCATCCTGTTGGTGGGCAGCCTGGGTTGTCAGTCTCTAGAGCATCCTGTTGGTGGGCAGCCTGGGTTGTCAGTCTCTAGAGCATCCTGTTGGTGGGCAGCCTGGGTTGTCAGTCTCTAGAGCATCCTGTTGGTGGGCGGCCTGGGTTGTCAGTCTCTAGAGCATCCTGTTGGTGGGCAGCCTGGGTTGTCGGTCTCTAGAGCATCCTGTTGGTGGGCGGCCTGGGTTGTCGGTCTCTAGAGCATCCTGTTGGTGGGCAGCCTGGGTTGTCAGTCTCTAGAGCATCCTGTAGGTGGGCGGCCTGGGTTGTCAGTCTCTAGAGCATCCTGTAGGTGTTATTGCGGGTGTAGTGAAATGCTTGTGCTTCTAGCGCGACAGTGCAGTAATATCTAACAAGTAATATCTAACAATTTCACAACATATTGGTGGGCGGCCTGGGTTGTCAGTCTCTAGAGCAGGGTTTCCAAAACTCGGTCCTCATGACCCCAAGGGGTGCACGTTTTGGTTTTTGCCCTAGCACTACACAGCTAATTAAAAGAATAAACGAATCATCAAGATTTGATAATTTCATCAGCTGTGTAGTGTTAGGGCAAAAACCAAAACGTGCACCATTTGGGGTCATGAGGACCGAGTTTGGGAAACGCTGCTTTAGAGCATCCTGTTTGTGGGAAGCCAGGGTTTTCCTTCTCCCATCTGCCTCTCCTTTTCAGAGGGGTCTAATTTCATTTGTTAAGTAGCTACCTACAGCACATTTGAGTACATCAGAACAGTCCCAGTTGTTTGACTTTAGCAGGCCTAGTGGCAGGGATCATGTTGTAGAAGTCATATTGAGCTGAACAGGATACTTTCTTACCTGTATGATGACCTACTACAGTAACTCTGTTTTTTGTAAGTCGCTCTGGATAAGAGCGTCTGCTAAATGACTTAAATGTGAATGTTTTATGAAATGAGTCAGGCTAATTGTTATGAGTTTTTAACACTAGAAGGGCCGAGGCAGTCATTTTGACTGCATATTTATTTAAAATGGAAATATCTGCCATTTTTAAAGTCATGCCCCCCTCCGTCCTTAAGGTTTCCTAAATAAGTCCATTTAACACACATTGTTAGAATGTCTATCACAAACTGAGTCTGTTATAAGCTGTTTTAAGAGGACCTGTTGTTTTTAGACTTACAGTATCTATATCTAGCGTTCACCTGGTCAGTCGGTCATGGAAAGAGCAGTAATGTTTTGTACACTCCGTTTTTTTTTTTACACACCTGATATGGTTCATATATAGAATGAAGGCCGGCACCAATGATCAGAGCCATTACATTTACATTTATAGTCATTTAGCAGACGCTCTTATCCAGAGCGACTTACAGGAGCAATTAGGGTTAAGTGCCTTGCTCAAGGGCACATCGACAGATTTTTCACCTAGTTGGCTCTGGGATTAGAACCAGCGACCTTTCGGTTACTGGCACAAGGCCGGCACCAATGATCAGAGCCAGGCCGGCACCAATGATCAGAGCCAGGCCGGCACCTATGATCAGAGCCAGGCCGGCACCAATGATCAGAGCCAGGCCGGCACCAATGATTGTTTTGTGGCAGTAAGTAAGCTGTTTTAAGTTTGGACACACATACTTGTTCAAGGGTTTTTCTTTATTTTTACTATTTTTTACATGGTAGAATAATAGTGAAGCTATAAACTATGAAATAACACATATGGAATCATGTAGTAACCAAAAAAGTGTTAAACAAATAAAAATATATTTTATATTTGAGATTCTTCAAATAGCCACCCTTTGCCTTGATGACAGCTTTGCACACTCTTGGCATTCTCTCAACCAGCTTCATGAGGTAGTCACTTGGAATGCATTTCAATTAACAGGTGTGCCTTCTTAAAAGTTAATTTGTGGAATTTATTTCCTTCTTAATGCGTTTGAGCCAATCAGTTGTGTTGTGACAAGGTAGTTGGTAAAAGACCAAGTCCATATTATGGCATGAACAGCTCAAATAAGCAAAGAGGTCAGTCAATACGGAACATTTCAAGAACTTTGAAAGTTTCTTCAAGTGCAGTCGCGAAAACCATCAAGCGCTATGATGAAACGGGGTCTCATGAGGACCGCCACAGGAAAGGAAGAGCCAGAGTTACCTCTGCTGCAGAGGATAAGTTCATTACAGTTACCCGTCTCAGAAATTTCAGCCCAAATAAATGCTTAACAGAGTTCAAGTCACAGACACATCTCAACATCAACTGTTCAGAGGGGACTGTGTGAATCAGGCCTTCATGGTCGAATTGCTGTAAAGAAACCACTACTAAAGGACACCAATAAGAAGAAGAGACCTGCTTGGGCCAAGAAACATGAGCAATGGACGTTAGACCGGTGGAAACTTGTCCTTTGGTCTGGAGTCCAAATTTGAGATTTTTAGTTCAAACTGCGGTGTCTTGGTGAGACGGGGTGTGGGTGAACAGATGATCTCCGCATGTGTAGTTCCCACCGTAAAGAATGGAGGAGGAGGTGTTATGGTGTGTGAGTGCTTTGCTGGTGACAGTCAGTGATTTATTTAGAATTCAAGGCACACTTAACCAGCATGGCTACCACAGCATTCTGCAGTGATACGCCATCCCATCTGGTTTGGGCTTAGTGGGACTATAATTTGTTTTTCAACAGGACAATGACCCAACACACCTCCAGGCTGTGTAAGGGCTATTTTACCAAGAAGGAGAGTGATGGAGTGCTGCATCAGATGACCTGGCCTCCACAATCCCCCGACCTCAACCCAATTGAGATGGTTTGGGATGAGTTTGACCGCAGAGTGAAGGAAAAGCAGCCAACAAGTGCTAAGCATATGTGGGAACTCCTTCAAGACGTTGCTACGACGGAAGTCACTGACAGCCAGGATGAACCGGAACGTGTGTCTGGGTTCGGTCAGTGCTGTGGAGTCACAGCCGGTCATGCAGGTTACCGTGGGGACAGTCATGTATGAGAATGTGTACTCAGCCATGTTGTGGAGGATTGACAGACTGCCTGCTAAGTACATGGGTAAAGACTAAAAGGAAGAGTCTGGCTGTCTTTGATGATCGATTGATGATGGAGGTCTATTGATAATCTCTTTTTGTATGGAATGCTGGCTTATTCTGTCTTATCTTTATTTTACATGTTACATTTACAACTTACTGACATATGTTTCAATATAGGCTATGTTTAAATGTAACATATGTTCCCTAATCAGTTTAGCTAAAATACATAACCTCTTTATATTATTATGGTTTGTTATACGACAAGAAATAACTAGCAGGTCTATTACGCTCCAGCAGCTAGAATTTGTCCGTCCACAATTCACCTGTGGGAACATGGCGACTCTCAATACCAGACAACAGAAAGAGCTGGCCGCCACTATCCAGGAGATTGTTTGTGTACCTCTGCCCTCGACTTACCATTAAAACCGGTAAATTAATAATTGGCACTGCTCACTGCTGAAGTGGATACTTATTTAACCAAAGTGGAAAGTCTGGAGAAGACAGTCAATGTGACAGAGGTGTGACTCCGTGACCTGGAAAGTGGAAGTTCAGTTGAAAGGGATAATCAAACTCCTAAAAGAGAAAACAGAATCACTCAAGTCATTCCTGTAAATTCTATGTATTTGTATTTGTATTTATTATGGATCCCCATTAGCTGCTGCCAAGGCAGCAGCTACTCTTCCTGCAGTCCAGCAAAATTAAGGCAGTTCATAAAATTTTAAAAACATTACAATACATTCACAGATTTCACAATACACAGTCCCAGCTGTTCTATAAGGTGTTTTTTTAAATCTAATTTTACAATTTGCATCAGTTACTTGATGTGGAATAGAGTTACATGTAGTCATGGCTCTATGTAGTACTGTGCGCCTCACATAGTCTGTTCTGGACTTGGGGACTGTGAAGAGACCTTTGGTGGCATGTCTTGTGTGGGGTATGCATGGGTGACCGAGCTGTGCGCCAGTAGCTCAAACAGACAGCTCGGTGCACCCAACATGTCAACACCTCTCATAAATACAAGTAGTGATGAAGTCAATCTCTCCTCCACTTTGAGCCAGGAGAGATAGACATGCATATTATTAATGTTAGCTCTCTTTGTACATCCAAGGGCCAGCCGTGCTACCCTGTTCTGGGCCAATTGTAATTTTCCTAAGTCCCTCTTTGTGGCACCTGACCACACGACTGAACAGTAGTCCAGTTGTGACAATACCAGGGCCTGTAGGACCTGCGTTGTTGATAGTGTTGTTAAGAAGGTAGAGCAGCGCTTTATTATGGACATACTTCTCCCCATCTTAGGTACTGTTGTATCAATATGTTTTGACCATGATAGTTTACAATCCAGGGTTACTCCAAGCAGTTTAGACACCTCAACTTGCTCAATTTACACATCATTTATTACAATATTTAGTTGAGGTTTAGGGTTTAGTGAATGATTTGTCCCAAAAACATTGCTTTTAGTTTTAGAAATATTTAGGACTAACTTATTCCTTGCCACTCACTCTGAAACTAACTGCAACTCTTTGTTAAGTGTTTCAGTCATTTCAGTCGCTATAGTAGCTGACATTTATAGTGTTGAGTCATCCGCACACATAGACACTCTGGCTTTACTCAAAGCCAGTGGCATGTCATTAGTAAATATTGAATAAAGTAATGGGCCTAGACAGCTGCCCTGGGGAATTCCTGATTCTACCTGGATTATGTTGGAGAGGCTTCCATTAAAGAACACCCTCAGTGTTCTGTTAGACAGGTAACTCTGTATCCACAGTATAGCAGGTGGAGTAAAGCCATAACACATACGTTTTTCCAGCAGCAGACTATGATCGATAATGTCAAAAGCCACACTGAAGTCTAACTAAACAGCCCCCACAATCTTTTTATCATCTAACCAGAAAGTATACCTCTATTGATATCACATACATTATCAAGCATTTCATACATGTTATCCAGATACTGACTGTTAGCACTTGGTGGTCTATAGCAGCTTCCCACCAGAATGGGCTTTAGGTGAGGCAGATGAACCTGTAGCCATATTACTTCAACAGTATTTAACATGAGATCCTCTCTAATCTTCACAGGAATGTGGTTCTGAATATAAACAGCAACACCTCCACCATTGGCATTTCTATCTTTTCTGTAAATGTTATAACCTTGTATTGCTACCACTGTATCATCAAATGTATTTTCTAAGTGAGTTTCAGAGATGGTCAGAATATGAATGTCATCTGTTACTAGCAAATTATTGATTTCATGAACCTTTCTTAAGCTACATATGTTAACGTGGGCTATTTTGAGCACTTTTCTTCTGGGATGCTTACTTGTTTTTATTGCTTTACTGGTAAGCTTAGCAGCAGTAGATGTGCTCATGTTCTTTATGTTAGTGCAGGGTGAGCTGCACACAGTGGCCTTCCTCCTCGGGCACACCGGCTCAGTGCTAACAGTATAAATCTGGTTCTTAGGCACATGATTACTGCATACAATAGCAGTAGGATCAGCAGAGGCATTCAGGGCAGTTAGAGGGACATAAATTAAGTTACTTATATTGTGTCTACCGACGCCCCTGGTGTAATGTACATTTGCTGAAGCATTTTGACAACTCTGCATCACAATGGTAGGGATTAGCTGAGCTGGGCTTGGGCTTGAAACTGGTGTGGAAGCGGGCAACCCAACTTCCTTCATGAGCAATCTTTTCTATGAACTGTTCGGGCAGGAGAAGCTGGATTCCATTTCACTGATTAACATTGCACACAACACAGGTTAACTCCTTAGTGGCTTTCACTGTATGATTGTACGGATCCACAGCTTTGAAGTCAAGCAGCGAATTGCTCACCTTGCAGCAGAATCTGACCTATGCAGGGAAGAGAATCAGCATCTACCCAGGCTTCAGTGCCGAACTGCTGAAACAGAGGGAGACCTACAGTGTCTTTGGAAAGTATTCAGACCCCTTGACTTTTTCCACATTTTGTTACGTTACAGCCTTGTTCTAAAATTGATTAAATGAATACAAATTCAATCTACACACAATACCCCATAATGACAAAGCAAAACAGGTTTTTAGACATTGTTGATAATTTATAAAAATATAACTTAAATATGACATTTACATAAGTATTCAGACCCTTTACTCAGTACTTTGTTGAAGCACCTTTGGCAGCGATTACAGCCTCGAGTCTTCTTGGGTATGACACTACAAGCTTGGCACACCTGTATTTGGGGAGTTTCTCCCATTCTTCTCTGCAGATCCTCTCAAGCTCTTTCAGGTTGGATGGGCACAGCTATTTTCAGGTCTCTCCAGAGATGTTAGATCGGGTTCAAGTCCGGGCTCTGGCTGGGCCACTAAAGGACATTCAGAGACTTGTCCCGAAGCCACTCCTGCTTTGTCTTGGCTGTGTGCTTAGGGTCATTGTCCTGTTGGAAGGTGAACCTTCACCCCAGTCTGAGGTCCTGAGCGCTCTGGAGTAGGTTTTCATCAAGGATCTCTCTGTACTTTGCTCCGTTCATCTTTGCCTCGATCCTGACTAGTCTCCCAGTCCCTGCAGCTGAAAAACATTCCACAGCATGATGCTGCCACCAACATGCTTCACCGTAGGGATGGTGCCAGGTTTCCTCCATATATGGCGCTTGGCATTCAGGCCAAAGAGTTCAATCTTGGTTTCATCAGACCAGAGAATCTTGTTTCTCACTGTCTGAGTCTCTTTAGGTGCCTTTTGGCAAACTCCAAGTGGGCTGTCATGTGCCTTTTACTGAGGAGTGACTTTCATCTGGCCACTCTACCATAAAGGCTTGATTGGTGGAGTGCTGCAGTGATGGGTGTCCTTCTGGAAGGTTCTCCCATCTCCACAGAGGAACTCTGGAGCTCTGTCAGAGTCACCATCGGATTATTGGTCACCTCCCTGACCAAGGCCCTTCTCCCCCGATTGCTCCGTTAGGCTGGGCGGCCAGCTCTAGGAAGATTCTTGGTGGTTCCAAACTTCTTCCATTTAAGAATGATGGAGGCCAATGTGTTCTTGGGGACCTTCAATGCTGCAGAAATGTGTTGGTCAATTTTGAGTCTAATTGCAAAAGGTCTGAATACTTATGTACATTTGCAAAAATGTCTAAACCTGTTTTCGCTTTGTCATTATGGGGTATTGTGTGTAGATTGCTGGAGGGTTTTCTATTTTTTTTAAATCCATTTTCGAATAAGGCTGTAACGTAACAAAATGTGGAAAAAGTCAAGGGGTCTGAATACTTTCCGAAGGCACTGTACAAAGAGGTCAGATCCCAGCTACTCATGCTCTCAAGCTAAACCTGAGATGCGGCTTCATCCACCCGGCAAAACTCCTTTTGACCTTCCAGAACACAACACGCACGTTTTCCACTGCCAATGAAGCTCAAGACTTCTTCGAGAAGCACATCAAACCCAACACACAAGGGGACAAGCCGACTAATGGAACCCCACGACTGGCTCATTATTCAGGTATTCTATTCATGCACAATCATGCAGCCTAGCCTATGGCTATGATGCTGCCCTCAGCATAAGACGATGAGGACACCCCTCGTGTTTGGGTACCAGGAACAATATTACTATTATTGCTGAGCTTTGAACTTGTTATAATTCTATTGCCTAAGGTACAATACATTTACACAGTGTTTAAACCATGCAAATGAATGAACAATGGACAATATGTGGATCCTACAGCTATCCTATTTTTGACTGTTTAGTCATTAGGCTTGCATATGTCATCTTTTGTTTTCATTTTCATTTGTTTTTCTTCATACCTACCCTTACTGGTCCAGTCTGCTAACTTCATTACCTACCCTTACTGGTCCAATCTGCTAACTTCATTACCCACCCTTACTGGTCCAGTCTGCTAACTTCGTTACCCACCCTTACTGGTCCGGTCCGCTAACTTCGTTACCCACCCTTACTGGTCCGGTCCGCTAACTTCGTTACCCACCCTTACTGGTCCAGTCCGCTAACTTCGTTACCCACCCTTACTGGTCCGGTCCGCTAGCTTCGTTACCCATCCCTTACTGGTCCAGTCTGGCGAGAGGGCGGGGGCTGGGGGAACTGGGGAAAGAGGACTGAGGGGAACCGGAGAGAAGGCTTGGGGCTGGAGGGAACCGGAACTGGGGAGAGAGGGCTGGGGCCTGGGGAAAGTGGGGGAGGGAAGGGGGAGGGGGAACGGTTTATAGAGGGACTTCTGGGTTGGGAGCGACCAATGTGTGGGTTTCCCTGTGGATTGTGCTTTTTATTTTACATTCATAGGCTAATCAACACTGAAGATAACAATTACATGTTAGAAAACAATGGCAACTAGCTATTCTCTCATGGAATTCGAAAGGGCTTAATATTCGTATCAAACGTTCCAGCTGTCTTGATATTCTAGTAAGAAACCAAATTGATATAGCAATTCTCCCAAAACACACCTGCTGCAAAAGGATACACATATAATAGAAAAGCATTTGAACAAACTGGCTGCTTTTTCATCAGCCCCAAACCAAACTAAGGGTGCAATCATAATGATACATCAGAAACTCTAAATCACCATCCTTGGTATAGACGAAGACCAAGTAGGCAGAATCACTTTCCTTAAATGTATCCATAATGGAAAGGAAATTGGGTCCTACTTTAAATGACATGCAGCTTATAAAGGCTTCATATACACTACGTAAATGTGTTACAAATAATCTATAACTGTATGTCATGCTTTATAGAGGGTTCATAAATGTGACAACCACCCATGTAAAATGTGACATAACCCACTATGTCAAATAGGACATAAACCTGTGCTTTATAAAAGGTGGAGTAAGCACCGCTAAATAAAGGCCTTATAAATCACATTAAATTGGGCTTCACAAAGCATTTATAACCCTGTCATGCGTCTTGGTAGAGCATTGCAACACCAGGATATTGGGTTTGATTCCCGGGACCACCCATACGTAAAAATGTGTTCACGCATGACTAAGTCGCTTTGGATAAAAGCGTCTGCTAAATTGTGTATATATTATATTTCACTAAAACATTTCTAGGCTGTCCCAACCTCTTTCCCTCTTGGGTGCATAGCCAATATTGGACCTGACCTCAACTTCCCCCAGAATGCTGTGCAGCAGGATGACACACACTCATGCACAGCTAAATATTTTGGTAGGGCCTTTTTAAAACGTTGCAATTGGCATGCTGACTGCAGTAATGTCCACCAGAGCTGTTGTCAGTACATTGAATGATCATTCATTTACATTTACATCATTTAGCAGACGCTCTTATCCAGAGCGACTTACAAATTGGTGCATTCACCCTATAGCCAGTGGGTTAACCACTTTACAATAATATATATTTTTTTTTTTGGGGGGGGGGGGGGGGGTTGAAGGATTACTTTATCCTATCCCAGGTATTCCTTAAAGAGGTGGGGTTTCAAATGTCTCCGGAAGGTGGTGAGTGACTCCGCTGTCCTGGCGTCGTGAGGGAGCTTGTTCCACCATTGGGGTGCCAGAGCAGCGAACAGTTTTGACTGGGCTGAGCGGGAACTATGCTTCCGCAGAGGAAGGGGAGCCAGCAGGCCAGAGGTGGATGAACGCAATGCCCTCGTTTGGGTGTAGGGACTGATCAGAGCCTGAAGGTACGGAGGTGCCGTTCCCCTCACAGCTCCATAGGCAAGCACCATGGTCTTGTAACAGATGCGAGCTTCAACTGGAAGCCAGTGGAGTGTGCGGAGGAGCGGGGTGACGTGAGAGAACTTGGGAAGGTTGAACACCAGACGGGCTGCGGCATTCTGGATGAGTTGTAGGGGTTTAATGGCACAGGCAGGGAGCCCAGCCAACAGCGAGTTGCAGTAATCCAGACGGGAGATGACAAGTGCCTGGATTAGGACCTGTGCCGCTTCCTGTGTAAGGCAGGGTCGTACTCTCCGAATGTTGTAGAGCATGAACCTGCAGGATCGGGTCACCGCCTTGATGTTAGCGGAGAACGACAGGGTGTTGTCCAGGGTCACGCCAAGGCTCTTCGCACTCTGGGAGGAGGACACAACGGAGTTGTCAACCTTTATGGCGAGATCATGGAACGGGCAGTCCTTCCCCGGGAGGAAGAGCAGCTCCGTCTTGCCAGGGTTCAGCTTGAGGTGGTGATCCGTCATCCATACTGATATGTCGGCCAGACATGCAGAGATGCGATTCGCCACCTGGTTATCAGAAGGGGGAAAGGAGAAGATTAGTTGTGTATCGTCAGCGTAGCAATGATAGGAGAGGCCATGTGAGGATATGACAGAGCCAAGTGACTTGGTGTATAGGGAGAAAAGGAGAGGGCCTAGAACTGAGCCCTGGGGGACACCAGTGGTGAGAGCACGTGGTGCGGAGACAGCTTCTCGCCACGCCACTTGGTAGGAGCGACCGGTCAGGTAGGACGCAATCCAGGAGTGAGCCGCGCCGGAGATGCCCAGCTCGGAGAGGGTGGAGAGGAGGATCTGATGGTTCACAGTATCAAAGGCAGCAGACAGGTCTAGAAGGACAAGAGCAGAGGAGAGAGAGTTAGCTTTAGCAGTGCGGAGAGCCTCCATGACACAGAGAAGAGCAGTCTCAGTTGAATGACCAGACCTGAAACCTGACTGGTTTGGATCAAGAAGGTCATTCTGAGAGAGATAGCATTCCTCTACCATAAGCCGCCTCCAACATCGTTTTAGAGAAATTAGCAGTACGTCCAACCAGCCTCACAAAAGCAGACCACATGTAACCACGCCAGCCCAGGACCTCCACATCCGGCTTCTTCACCTGCGTGATTGTCTGAGACCAGCCACCTGGACAGCTGATGAAACCGTGGGTTTGCACAACCAAATAATTTCTGCACAAACTGTCAGAAACCATCTCCGGGAAGCTCATTTGCGTGCTCGTCGTCCTCACCAGGGTCTTGGCCTGACTGCAGTTCGGCATCGTAACCGACTTCAGTGGGCAAATGCTCACCTTCGATGGCCACTGGCACGCTGGAGAAGTGTGCTCTTCACGGATGAATCCCGGTTTCAACTGTACCAGGTATGGCGTCCTGTGGGCAAGCGGTTTGCTGATGTCAGCGTTGTGAACAGAGTACCTCATGGTGGGGTTATGGTATGGGCAGGCATAAGTTACGGACAACGAACACAATCACATTTTATCGATGGCAATTTGAATCCACAGAGATACTGTGACGAGATCCTGAGGCCCGTTGTCGTGCCATGGACGGAGACATGTTGGGCTGGGGGGAGTGAGATGTTGGGCTGGGGGGAATGTGACGGGGAGCTGGGGGTGAAGTCTGGCTTGGGGGAATGGGACGGGTAGCTGGGGGTGAAGTCTGGCTGGGGGGAATGGGACGGGTAGCTGGGGGTGACGTCTGGCTGGGGGGAATGGGACGGGTAGCTGGGGGTGACGTCTGGCTGGGGGGAATGGGACGGGGGGCTGGGGGTGACGTCGGGCTGGGGGGAATGGGACGTCGGGCTGGGCGGAATGGGACTGGGAGCTGGGGGTGACGTCGGGCGGGGGGGAATGGGATGGGGAGGTGACGTCGGGCTGGGGGGAATGGGACGGGTAGCTGGGGGTGACGTCTGGCTGGGGGGAATGGGACGGGGGGCTGGGGGTGACGTCGGGCTGGGGGGAATGGGACGTCGGGCTGGGCGGAATGGGACTGGGAGCTGGGGGTGACGTCGGGCGGGGGGGAATGGGATGGGGAGGTGACGTCGGGCTGGGGGGAATGGGACGTCGGGCTGGGCGGAATGGGACTGGGAGCTGGGGGTGACGTCGGGCGGGGGGAATGGGACGGGGAGTTGGGGGTGACGTCGGGCGGGGGGAATGGGACGGGGAGTTGAGGGTGACGTCTGGCTGGGGGGAATGGGACGGGAGCTGGGGGGAATGGGATGGGAGCTGGGGGGAATGGGACGGGGAGCTGGGGGGAATGGGACGTCGGGCTGAGGGGAATGGGACGTCGGGCGGAATGGGATGGGGAGGTGGGGGTGACGTCGGGCTGGGGGGAATGGGACGCTGGGGGGAATGGGACGTCTGGCTGGGGGGAATGGGACGTCGGGCGGAATGGGATGGGGAGGTGGGGGTGACGTCGAGCTGGGGGGAATGGGACGTCGGGCGGAATGGGATGTGGGGGTGGAGGCACATCTTTTTGTTTCTCTTTTCTTTACCAATTGTATTATTACTAGATCCTGTGTGATCAATATGATCATTTCTCTGTATGTGTTTTTAATTTTGGGTGGCAGTACATGTGGTATAAATTAAGTGTATAAATTGACATGAATATTGTAACTGTAACCCCACCCCCCAAATAAAGGAAAGGAAATATAAATGACTATCTGTGCATTTATTTGATGTCTTTTATGTGGGATCTTGCTGCAATTTCTCTTTTTCTGCGCCAAGTACAGTAAGTCATGTTTTTCATTGAGGGGAGACAATATGTGTAAAGCATCTAATTGTGTTGCAGAACAGCGGTGGGACTCTGGCCACCTTCTCTCTTCCTCCCGGGATGACCTACCCAGTCCAGATCCCTGCAGGGGTCACACTGCAGACGGCCTCTGGTAAGAAGGGCCACAGCATGCGTGAACCTCCATACACACACATGCGTTTTGACAAACTTCATTTAAAAAGAACATTAATCAGTCTCTGTTTCAACACCTATAATATACACTCCCTTGGTGCATGTTTATGGTGCATATGTAGCCACTGGTATGGTTCTGGGCAGAATTAATAATATGATATTAAAATGTCAAGTCCCCATTTAACAACTTAATGTAAAAGAAAGAATGGATACACGTTTCTAGAATAGATCCCTTTACTTATCGATTCCTCTGCCTCCCTAAGGCCAGCTTTATAAGGTCAATGTCCCAGTGATGGTGACCCAGGCTCCAGCCAGCCATCCCCAGCCCCAGCCCCAGCCCCAGCCCCAGCCCCAGCCCAGGCAAGGGGTGCCTGTAGTGGAGTGGAGAGATCCCAGCTCAGCTTCCCAGCAGTCAGCCACAGTGGTCCCTTCTACTGTCCTGAAGAACATGGCCCTTCCGAAGACCGAACCGTTCTCCCCACGGCCTGTGGCCCCTCCCAGAGCTGTACCTCAGACCGAACCGTTCTCCTCACGGCCTGTGGCCCATCCCAGAGCTGTACCTCAGACCGAACCGTTCTCCCCACGGCCTGTGGCCCCTCCCAGAGCTGTACCTCAGACCGAACCGTTCTCCCCACGGCCTGTGGCCCCTCCCAGAGCTGTACCTCAGACCGAACCGTTCTCCCCACGGCCTGTGGCCCCTCACAGAGCTGTACCCCAGACCACAGAGCAGAAGAACCTGATGCCTCCGGTCCAGGTGAATCACCATCTTGATATGTTTTTATTGTGGCACTTTGGGTTTTTGAAACGTGTTTTACAAAACCATAATGTATTTTTCTCCAGCCACCTAATGAGAAGCCTGTGCTTCCTCAACCTGTGGTCCAGCCCACAGTTCAGGAGAATCATCTCCTTCAGCAGCCACAGGTTCCTTCAGCTCAGGCAATCTTTTCTGTGCAGACTCCAGTGTCCTTCCTGTCCCAACCGCCATCTCACCCCCAAGAGAGCCCCTTCGACAGTGGTGATTTCACTCTGGATGGGATTGATTTCGACAGTCCACAGCCAGTAGACATGAGCCTGTCCTCGTCCCTGTCCTGCGGTTCCGCCCACATGCCAAGCCTTCAGGTAGTCAATGACTTGTGGATAATTCCGCCATATCTTCATCAAACAGTCAATAATCTCATGTTATTACAATGGCAAGGATGTGTACTGCTATATTTCAGAAGACATAGGCTGCCTCCCAAATGGCACCCTTTTCCCTATATACTGCACTGCTTTTGACCATGGCCCATAGGGCGTTAGTCAAAAGTAGTGCACTATATAGGGAAAAGGGTGCCATTTGGGAACAAGAGACCTGAGCCAAGGTTCAACATACAGCTTATATAATCATGTCCATTTTACCCAGGTCAAGATGGAGACGACCCTGTCTGAAGGGTCAGAGTTTATGGGTCAGGGGTCAGAGTTCGAGGCCAGCGAGGTGGGGGTAGAGGAGATTGTGAAACAGGAGGATCATGGAGGAGCGGTGGCTGATATGACAACCCACTTGGAGGGTCTACCTGTGGATGCTACCAAGGTAAGACAGGAGATGGCATCTGGGACTCAGGCCCAATCCCAAATCCACCACTAGAACCTTGTAGATTTGAGAGGATTTCATACTGTAGGTTTAATCAATATGGTGAAACGCCCACCTAACCTGTCAAAGGGCAAGGTGGAGTGTTTGTTATATTGCTAACACCAGTCAAATTCTCTCAGATCTCCAGAAGTATTTAGGGCATCGGGTCTCAATTTGTAGTTCATAGCACTTCCTGTTCCTTCTTCCCCAGCTGGAGATGGCCCTGCTGAAAGACTACAACTACAGCGATGCTCTGGCAGACATCATCCAGCTGGACGGGCCTGCGGACAGCAGCTCTGACGTGGAGGAGGTGGAGGAGTTGGAAGGAGGTGTGTAGCATTGTCAACAATAGTTATGCTAGCCAAGGGAAGTGATTGCCTTGTTAGCTAACGATTGCTGCGTCATTCTAATAGGCTGTGTTTAAACAGGCAGCCCAATTCTGATTTTTTTCCCAGTCAGATCAGTTCTGAAAGATGTGAAAAGAGCTGATGTGATTGGTCAAAATACCAATTAGTTGAAAAAAGATCAGAATTGGGCTGCCTGTGTAAATGCAGCCATAGAGGAGTTTGCTGATGCATAAACAAAGTGTGGTTACAGGTGCGATGGGAGAGAATGAGTTCCTAGGCATGATGACTGCTGAGGCCCTACAGGAGGCAGAGGGCAGCAGTGATGATGGCAACTCCAGCTCCAGTGGCGACAGTGTGGGGATGGATGAAATCACAGTGGAAGAGGTAAGAAATGGGTCTGTCCTCATTGTTTTTTTAAATAAGCCTAGTCCTGTCTGGTTACCTGGACACAGATCAAGCCTAGTCCTGTCTGGTTACCTGGACACAGATCAAGCCTAGTCCTGTCTGGTTACCTGGACACAGATCAAGCCTAGTCCTGTCTGGTTACCTGGACACAGATCAAGCCGGTAGAGTACGGCGCTTGTAACGCCAAGGTAGTGGGTTCGATCCCCGGGACCACCCATACACACAAAAAAATTTATGCACGCATGACTGTAAGTCGCTTTGGATAAAAGCGTCTGCTAAATGGCATATTATTATAAGCCTAGTCCTGTCTGGTTACCTGGACACAGATCAAGCCTAGTCCTGACTGGTTACCTGGACACAGATCAAGCCTAGTCCTGACTGGTTACCTGGACACAGATCAAGCCTAGTCCTGACTGGTTACCTGGACACAGATCAAGCCTAGTCCTGACTGGTTACCTGGACACAGATCAAGCCAAGTCCTGTCTGGTTACCTGGACACAGATCAAGCCTAGTCCTGTCTGGTTACCTGGACACAGATCAAGCCTAGTCCTGTCTGGTTACCTGGACACAGATCAAGCCTAGTCCTGGACAAACAGGCACTTTAAATGGAGAATCTATTTTGATAAGTCCCGACGCTTCTGAACCTGTACAAAAGTCTGTAGATGGTGCTGTTGCATCATTTGACACTAATCACTTAATAGTATTTGGGTCCTCCTATGCCTTATTGGCATGAACAAAACCAGAGATTAACCCTGTTTACAGTTTTTGCCCATTGCTTACACACTAAAACCGAATGCTTAGACCAAAGCCTCAATACCTAAACTTCTTGTAGCATACCTTAAACACAGTGTAACCATAGCTTAAACACAATGTCAACTTTGCACTTTGTTTGCAATTCTGTAACACACTTATTGTGAAACACTACACACGTTTTCTTACATTAGACACTTTGTTCAAAAACGAAATCACCTGTTATCATTGGGAAAACACTCTGTTCAAAATGCAAAACTCATCTGGCAATTGTATGCACTTACATACACACCTGAAAACACTTGCACAGAAAACAGAACACCAATCAGTCTGAGCCTTAGCACTACAAATAGGCCTCAGGTAAGCCATTTTTAGAACTTTGCAAGCATGGAGGCAATGAGAGTCAGAGTAAGAGGAGGACAAAGAGAGAGAGGAGTCGGATGTGGAAGAGGACGTGGAAGAGGACGAGGACCAGTGCGGAGACGTATATCAGATGACATCAGGGCTACTCTGGTGGACCATGTGATAAATCATGGCCTGTCCATGAGGGAGGCTGGGCAAAGAGTCCACCCTAACCTCAGTCGCTACACAGTAGCATCGATAATAAGGACATTCCGACTGGAGAACAGGTATATCTTCAAGTTTCTACTCCAGACTGTACCTACTGTATGTGTCACATGATTCTGTATAATATTACAGTATTACTGTACTAACTATACTATACAAAAATGGGTAGTGCTGTGAAGTACTGTATATGTAAAGGAATACCATTGTGATGTTGCAGTACTGTGTACAGTTTGAAAGTACAGTATGTGAAAAATTACCTAACCAATGACATCTTGTGGTGGCATTTTCTACAGAATGGTTGGACGACCTCCTCAAGGTGGAAGGGAACGGCTCTTCACTCAACAACAAGAGCTTGCCATCATTGAAATGGTACGAGAAAATAATGCAATCCGACTTCGTGAGTTGCAACAACGCATAATTGCAAATGGAAATGAATTCAACAATATCAACAGGGTCAGCATTTCTACACTAAGTCGCATCCTACAGAAACATAACTTCAGAATGAAGCAGCTGTACAGGGTGCCATTTGAGAGGAACAGTGTCAGGGTCAAGGATCTGCGCCATGATTATGTGCAGGTATGTGTCACTTTACTTTACATACTATATAATGTGATGTGGGAATGAGGGTTTATGCTGCCACCTGCCCTGCCTGTAGCTTGTAGTTTTTGTCTATACTCACCCAACCCAGCCCCTACTTGTGTGAAAATATAGACATTGTAGTTACTGTATGTGTTTTCAGTAACACTATTCAATATTTTATGTTACAGACAGTTCTGGAGTTTGATGCCGCCGAACTGCCACATGAGTTCATCTACGTGGAAGAGGCAGGCTTCAATCTGGCCAAAACCAGGCGTCGGGGCCGTAACGTAGTTGGACAAAGGGCTGTTGTAAATGTCCCTGGGCAGCGTGGGGGAAATATCACCTTGTGTGCTGCAATTAGTGTGCAAGGAGTCCTGCATCATCATGCCACTCTAGGTCCCTACAATACAGGACAGATCATTGCATTTCTAGATGCACTACATGCAGTTGTGCAGGACAGACCACAGCAGCCCAGGTTTGTTGTCATCTGGGATAATGTTAGTTTCCACCGGGCTGCTCTGGTCCGAGATTGGTTCAACAACCATAATCATTTCACAGTTTTATACCTGCCCCCTTATAGCCCCTTTCTAAATGCAATCGAGGAATTATTTTCAGCGGGCGGTGGAAAGTATATGATCGGCAACCACATGCCCGCATGACTCTTCTGCAAGCAATGGAAGAGGCATGTGGAGACATTGAGGTGGGATCAATCCAAGGGTGGATTCGGCACACAAGGCGATATTTTCCCCGATGCCTAGCCCGCGAGGACATCGCCTGTGATGTTGACGAGGTCTTGTGGCCAGATCCGAACAGAAGGCGTGATCCATAAGCCCCCCCGCACCCCACCACACACACACACATGCACACACACACGCACGCACACACGCACACAAAACAAGTATATGTTTTTTCCCCCAATAGCAATTTATCCAGTAATTTTTTATTTTTTTACTTTTGTTTTGTTGCTAAATTTGATGTTAAGAATTTCTGTAAGAATATTTGTTTTTTTGTAAAAACTTTTTTGTAAATACTGTTTGATTACTGCAGACATTCTACTTTTGAGTTTTACAGAAGACAATGACAATAAAATGACAATAAAAATAGAAACACAAAGACTGCAGTGTTTTATATAAAGCCCATCAGTGTGTTGCTGGTGATATGAAAGAGTAATTCAAATGTTGTTTGTGTGTATGGTTTTGTTGCAAGAATTTCATTTTTAGAAAGGAGTGTTAAGTTTTGATTGCAGTGTTTCATTTTGGCATATATGTGAGTTGTTAATCTCCAAGTGCTATGTCTGATTGACTTGTGTGTTGAGTTTTGACATAATGACCCAAATTCTGCAAAAAGTGTGTAAGCAATAGGCAAAAACTGTAAGTCAATGTACTTTAGGAGGATGTGAAGTCTGTTGGCTGTCTTTGACTGCTGAGCTGCCTCTGACATGTTGACTCTGACATGTTGACTCTGCCTCTGACATGTTGCCTCTGACATGTTGCCTCTGACATGTTGCCTCTGACATGTTGACTGCCTCTGACATGTTGCCTCTGACATGTTGACTGCCTCTGACATGTTGACTCTGCCTCTGACATGTTGCCTCTGACATGTTGACTCTGCCTCTGACATGTTGCCTCTGACATGTTGACTCTGCCTCTGACATGTTGCCTCTGACATGTTGACTCTGTCTCTGACATGTTGACTCTGCCTCTGACATGTTCTCTGCCTCTGACATATTGCCTCTGACATGTTGACTCTGCCTCTGACATGTTGACTGCCTCTGACATGTTGACTGCCTCTGACATGTTGCCTCTGACATCTTGACTCTGCCTCTGACATGTTGACTCTGCCTCTGACATGTTGACTCTGCCTCTGACATGTTGACTGCCTCTGACATGTTGCCTCTGACATGTTGACTCTGCCTCTGACATATTGCCTCTGACATGTTGACTCTGCCTCTGACATGTTGACTCTGCCTCTGACATGTTGACTCTGCCTCTGACATGTTGACTCTGCCTCTGACATGTTGACTGCCTCTGACATGTTGCCTCTGCCTCTGACATGTTGCCTCTGCCTCTGACATGTTGCCTCTGACATGTTGACTCTGCCTCTGACATGTTGACTGCCTCTGACATGTTGACTCTGCCTCTGACATGTTGCCTCTGACATGTTGCCTCTGACATGTTGCCTTTTGACATGTTGACTCTGACATGTTCCCTCCGCCTCTAACATGTTGCCTCTGCCTCTGACATGTTGCCTCTGACATGTTGACTCTGACATGTTGACCTCAGGGTTCTGACATGTTTACCTGACATGTTGACTCTGCCTCTGACATGTTTCCTCTCCTCTGACATGTTGACTCTGCCTCTGACTGTTGCCTCTGACATGTTGCCTCTTTAATGTTGCCTCGAAATGTTGACTTGCCTCTGACATGTTGCCTCTGACATGTTGACTCTGCCTCTGACATGTTGCCTCTGACATGTTGACTCTGCCTCTGAATATTGCCTGAATGTTGACTCTGCTCTGACATGTTGCCTCGACATGTTGCCTCTGACATGTTGACTCGCCTCTGAACATGTTGCCTCTGACATGTTGCCTTGACATGTTTACTGCCTCTGACATGTTGCCTCTGACATGTTTACTGCCTCTGACATGTTGACTCTGGCCTCGGACATGTTGCCTCTGAAAATTTTTGACTGCCTCTGACATGTTGACTCTGCCTCTGACATGTTGCCTCTGACATGTTGCCTCTGACATGTTGCCTCTGACATGTTGCCTCTGACATGTTGCCTCTGACATGTTGACTCTGCCTCTGACATGTTGCCTCTGACATGTTGACTCTGTCTCTGACATGTTGACTCTGCCTCTGACATGTTGACTCTGACATGTTGCCTCTGCCTCTGACATGTTGCCTCTGACATGTTGACTCTGCCTCTGACATGTTGACTGCCTCTGACATGTTGCCTCTGACATGTTGACTCTGCCTATGACATGTTGACTCTGCCTCTGACATGTTGACTCTGCCTCTGACATGTTGCCTCTGACATGTTGACTCTACCTCTGACATGTTGACTGCCTCTGACATGTTGACTCTGCCTCTGACATGTTGACTGCCTCTGACATGTTGCCTCTGACATGTTGACTCTGCCTCTGACATGTTGCCTCTGACATGTTGACTCTGCCTCTGACATGTTGACTGCCTCTGACATGTTGCCTCTGCCTCTGACATGTTGCCTCTGCCTCTGACATGTTGCCTCTGACATGTTGACTCTGCCTCTGACATGTTGACTGCCTCTGACATGTTGACTCTGCCTCTGACATGTTGCCTCTGACATGTTGCCTTTTGACATGTTGACTCTGACATGTTCCCTCCGCCTCTAACATGTTTCCTCTGCCTCTGACATGTTGCCTCTGACATGTTGACTCTGACATGTTGACTCAGGGTTCTGACATGTTGACTCTGACATGTTGACTCTGCCTCTGACATGTTGACTCTGCCTCTGACATGTTGCCTCTGAAATGTTGACTCTGCCTCTAACATGTTGCCTCTGACATGTTGACTCTGCCTCTGACATGTTGCCTCTGACATGTTGACTCTGCCTCTGACATATTGCCTCTGACATGTTGACTCTGCCTCTGACATGTTGCCTCTGACATGTTGCCTCTGACATGTTGACTCTGCCTCTGACATGTTGACTCTGCCTCTGACATGTTGCCTCTGACATGTTGCCTCTGACATGTTGACTGCCTCTGACATGTTGCCTCTGACATGTTGACTGCCTCTGACATGGTGACTCTGCCTCTGACATGTTGACTCTGCCTCTGACATGTTGCCTCTGACATGTTGACTCTACCTCTGACATGTTGACTGCCTCTGACATGTTGACTCTGCCTCTGACATGTTGACTGCCTCTGACATGTTGCCTCTGACATGTTGCCTCTGACATGTTGACTCTGCCTCTGACATGTTGACTCTGCCTCTGACATGTTGACTCTGCCTCTGACATGTTGACTCTGCCTCTGACATGTTGACTCTGCCTCTGACATGTTGACTGCCTCTGACATGTTGCCTCTGACATGTTGACTCTGCCTCTGACATGTTGACTCTGCCTCTGACATATTGCCTCTGACATGTTGACTCTGCCTCTGACATGTTGACTGCCTCTGACATGTTGCCTCTGACATGTTGACTCTGCCTCTGACATGTTGCCTCTGACATGTTGACTCTGCCTCTGACATGTTGCCTCTGCCTCTGACATGTTGACTCTGCCTCTGACATGTTGACTCTGCCTCTGACATGTTGCTCTGACATGTTTCCCCTGACATGTTGACTCTGACATGTGACTCTGCCTCTGACATGTTGAACTCTGCCCCTGACATGTTTCCTCGGACATGTTGACTCTGCCTCTGACATGTTTACTGCCTCTGACATTTTTTTGCCTCTGCCTCTGACATGTTGCCTCTGCCCCTGAATGTTGCCTCGACGTTGACTCTGCCTCTGACTGTTGACTGCCTCTGACATGTTGACCTTGCCTCTGACATGTTTCCTTTTGGGCAAAGTTGACTTGACATGTTCCCTCCGCCTCTAACATGTTGCCCCTGCCTCTGACATGTTGACTCTGCCTCTGACATGTTGCCTCTGACATGTTGACTCTGCCTCTGACATGTTGCCTCGACATGTTGCCTTTTGAATTTGACTCTGACATTTCCCTCCGCCTCTAACATGTTTCCTCTGACATGTTGACTCTGCCTCTGGGCATGTTGACGCCTCTGACATGTTTCCTCTGACATGTTGACTCTGCCTCTGACATGTTGACTCTTGCCTCTGACCTGTGACTCTGCCTCTGACATGTTGACTCTGCCCCTGAAAATGTTGACTCTGACATGTTGACTCTGCCTCTGACATGTTGCCTCTGACATGTTGACTCTGCCTCTGACATGTTTTCCCTTTACATGTTGACTCTGCCTCTGACATGTTGCCTCTGACATGTTGCCTCTGACATGTTGACTGCCTCTGACATGTTGCCTCTGCCTCTGACATGCTGCCTCTGCCTCTGACATGTTGCCTCTGCCTCTGACATGTTGCCTCTGCCTCTGACATGTTGACTCTGACTCTGACATGTTGACTGCCTCTGACATGTTGACTCTGGGCATGTTACCTCTGACATGTTGACTCTGCCTCGACATGTTTTCCTTGACATTTTTGCTCTGCCTTGACATTGCCATCGACATGTTGACTCTGCCTCTGACATGTTGCCTCTGCCTCTGACATGTTGCCTCTGCCTCTGACATGTTGACTCGCCTTGACATGTTGCCTCTGCCTCCTGACATGTTTTGCCGCCTCTGCCTCTGACATGTTTGCCTCTGCCTGACATGTTGACTCTGACTCTGACATGTTGACTGCCTCTGACATGTTGACTCTGACATGTTGCCTCTGACATGTTGACTCTGCCTCTGACATGTTGCCTCTGACATGTTGACTCTGCCTCTGACATGTTGCCTCTGACATGTTGACTCTGCCTCTGACATGTTGCCTCTGCCTCTGACATGTTGACTCTGCCTCTGACATGTTGACTGCCTCTGACATGTTGACTCTGACATGTTGACTCTGCCTCTGACATGTTGCCTCTGACATGTTGCCTCTGACATGTTGCCTCTGACATGTTGACTTAGGCTCTGACATGTTGCCTCTGACATGTTGCCTCTGACATGTTGACTTAGGCTCTGACATGTTGACTCTGACATGTTGACTCTGCCTCTGACATGTTGACTTTGCCTCTGACATGTTGCCTCTGACATGTTGACTCTGCCTCTGACATGTTGACTGCCTCTGACATGTTGCCTCTGCCTCTGACATGTTGCCTCTGCCTCTGACATGTTGACTGCCTCTGACATGTTGACTCTGCCTCTGACATGTTGCCTTTTGACATGTTGACTCTGACATGTTCCCGCCGCCTCTAACATGTTGCCTCTGCCTCTGACATGTTGACTCTGCCTCTGACATATTGCCTCTGACATGTTGCCTCTGACATGTTGCCTCTGACATGTTGACTCTGCCTTTGACATATTGCCTCTGACATGTTGACTCTGCCTCTGACATGTTGACTGCCTCTGACATGTTGCCTCTGACATGTTGCCTCTGACATGTTGACTTAGGCTCTGACATGTTGACTGCGCCTCTGACATGTTGACTCTGACATGTTGCCTCTGGCATGTTGACTCTGCCTCTGACATGTTGACTCTGCCTCTGACATGTTGACTCTGCCTCTGACATGTTGACTCTGCCTCTGACATGTTGACTCTGCCTCTGACATGTTGCCTCTGGCATGTTGTCTCTGGCATGTTGCCTCTGGCATGTTGACTTAGGCTCTGACATGTTGACTGCGCCTCTGACATGTTGACTACGCCTCTGACATGTTGACTGTGCCTCTGACATGTTGCCTTTTGACATGTTGACTCTGACATGTTCCCGCCGCCTCTAACATGTTGCCTCTGCCTCTGACATGTTGACTCTGCCTCTGACATATTGCCTCTGACATGTTGCCTCTGACATGTTGCCTCTGACATGTTGACTCTGCCTCTGACATGTTGCCTCTGACATGTTGACTCTGCCTCTGACATGTTGACTGCCTCTGACATGTTGCCTCTGACATGTTGACTTAGGCTCTGACATGTTGACTGCGCCTCTGACATGTTGACTCTGACATGTTGCCTCTGGCATGTTGACTCTAGCATGTTGACTCTGCCTCTGACATGTTGACTCTGCCTCTGACATGTTGCCTCTGGCATGTTGCCTCTGACATGTTGACTTAGGCTCTGACATGTTGACTGCGCCTCTGACATGTTGACTACGCCTCTGACATGTTGACTGTGCCTCTGACATGTTGACTGTGCCTCTGACACCCCACCACTATACAGAGCTGTCATTGACATCTGGGTTGAGGGTGTTTCAGATGCGGAATGAAAGGTTGAACTCTGTTCTGCTTGTTCTATAAATCAAAACAACTAAATACCTTAGTAGACATTTTTATCCAAAGCCATAAAAGTGTCTGCATTTTCAGTACTTGATCCCACAACCTTGGTGCTAATCATGAGCATCCAGTGTCCCATATAACCCTCTCTCTCCCTCCCCCTCTTTCTCTGTCTGTCTCGCTCGCTCGCTCGCTCTCTTTCTCTCTTACATCTCTCTCCCCCCTTCTTTCACTGTCCTCCCCTCTTTCTCCCCCCCCTCTCTCTCCTCCCTCTTTCTCTCTCCCCACTCTCTTCCCCCACCCCCCCTCTTTCTCTCCCCTCCTCTCTTTCTCTCCCCTCCCCCCTCTTTCTCCCTCCATGATAGGATCCTTTAAACTCTGGGGATGACGTGAGTGAGCAGGACATTCCTGATCTCTTTGACACTGACAATGTGATAGTGTGTCAGTATGATAAGGTATGCTTCAGGTTCCTAGTGTTGTAGATAAGGTATGCTTCAGCTTCCTAGTGTTGTAGATAAGGTATGTTTCAGCTTCCTAGTGTTGTAGATAAGGTGTTCATGCTTTCTAATGATATACTGTATGTTTTTTACCACTTCAGATTCACCGCAGTAAGAACCGGTGGAAGTTCTATCTGAAGGATGGGGTGATGTGTTACGGAGGAAAGGACTATGTCTTCTCTAAGGCTGTCGGGGAGGCAGAGTGGTGACTGGGTTTGTTATGTTCCAATGTCCATACTAGAATAGTTCACTGAGTCAAAGACGAGTTTTATACAATACCTCTTGGGATGCAATGACAATACTTTTTAAGTAGCATGCTAGTGTGAATATTGGAACAGAATCTTGGTCTGTATTTCACCCATGCAGATACAGCCTTGACTTGTAGTCATAAATGTGTCCAACGAGGCAAATAAAACATGAATATATTGTGAGAATAATATCATTTGAAGTTAATGGGGGAAACCACAGTTGTTCACTGAGCTAGAAAAAACAAGTTTGAATCTATACAGGCTTCTAATGTGAAGACAAATGTCTGGATGAGAAGTAATGTTTCCGTCCCACATAGCAACCTATTCCCTATATAGTGCACTATTTTTGACCAGCCACCACAGTGCAGTAAGGGCTTTTTGAATTGTTCATTTCGTTTATGTAACTATTTATTTATATTTTTGTATTTATGTTGTTTAATGCCATTAAAGGAGCACTGAGCACAAGTAGGTCCAAATGGAGCTTAGTAATTTGTAATGATGCTCTGTTTGTTTATGTACCAAATTCATTCATTTTAAGATGTCCGTAATGTGACTTTCTGTTCTCAGCAATGATATAAAATCTATTTTTTTTGTTTATTTTGGAGCAAAACAATGGTCTGAAATGTAAACTCAAATAACTAATTCTGTTTTCACTGCCAATGAAATATAAGCATTAAAATGAACCCTGCTGTTATTTTGTCTGAAGGTGAATTGTCATGAATGAAAATGTACATACAGAACACAGAATCCCCCGATAGACTAGGAAAAATGTCACTCAATAGCTAGGGTTCCATCCAATTAGCGACAGATTTTCATGTGAATATTCAAAAATGATCATAAAGAAATATGCGCATTTTCCCACCAGTGTTGTGGGAAGTTGTTGTGGATAAAAATCAGTGCGTGATGACGTAGTGCACACAATGTACTTGTCATGTACCGAATAAAAATCAAGTTCAATGTGTTTCCATCTCATTTTCAACTCCACCGATAGTTTTGTCACAAACTGTTTTGTTAAATACCAAATGTGCCTACTCAAATCAAATCAAATTTTATTGGTCACATGCGCCGAATACAACAGGTGCAGACATTACAGTGAAATGCTTACTTACAGCCCTTAACCAACAGTGCATTTATTTTAAACAAAAAAGTAAGAATAAAACAACAACAAAAAAAGTGTTGAGAAAAAAAGAGCAGAAGTAAAATAAAGTGACAGTAGGGAGGCTATATATACAGGGGGGTACCGTTGCAGAGTCAATGTGCGGGGGCACCGGCTAGTTGAGGTAGTTGAGGTAATATGTACATGTGGGTAGAGTTAAAGTGACTATGCATAAATACTTAACAGAGTAGCAGCAGCGTAAAAAGGATGGGGGTGGGGGGGCAGTGCAAATAGTCCGGGTAGCCATGATTAGCTGTTCAGGAGTCTTATGGCTTGGGGGTAGAAGCTGTTGAAGTCTTTTGGACCTAGACTTGGCACTCCAGTACCGCTTGCCGTGCGGTAGCAGAGAGAACAGTCTATGACTAGGGTGGCTGGAGTCTTTGACAATTTTGAGGGCCTTCTTCTGACACCGCCTGGTATAGAGGTCCTGGATGGCAGGAAGCTTTGCCCCAGTGATGTACTGGGCCGTACGCACTACCCTCTGTAGTGCCTTGCGGTCAGAGGCCAAGCAGTTGCCATACCAGGCGGTGATGCAACCAGTCAGGATGCTCTCGATGGTGCAGCTGTATAATTTTTTTGAGGATCTGAGGACCCATGCCAAATCTTTTTAGTCTCCTGAGGGGGAATAGGCTTTGTCGTGCCCTCTTCACGACTGTCTTGGTGTGTTTGGACCATGATAGTTCGTTGGTGATGTGGACACCAAGGAACTTGAAGCTCTCAACCTGTTCCACTACAGCCCCGTCGATGAGAATGGGGGCGTGCTCAGTCCTCTTTTTTTTCCTGTAGTCCACAATCATCTCCTTTGTCTTGGTCACGTTGAGGGAGAGGTTGTTGTCCTGGCACCACACGGCCAGATCTCTGACCTCCTCCCTATAGGCTGTCTCATCGTTGTCGGTGATCAGGCCTACCACTGTTGTGTCGTCAGCAAACTTAATGATGGTGTTGGAGTCGTGCCTGGCCATGCAGTCATGGGTGAACAGAGAGTACAGGAGGGGACTGAGCACGCACCCCTGAGGGGCCCCCGTGTTGAGGATCAGTGTGGCAGATGTGTTGTTACCTACCCTTACCACCTGGGGGCGGCCCGTCAGGAAGTCCAGGATCCAGTTGCAGAGGGAGGTGTTTAGTCCCAGGATCCTTAGCTTAGTGATGAGCTTAGAGGGCACTATGGTGTTGAATGCTGAGCTGTAGTCAATGAATAGCATTCTCACGTAGGTGTTCCTCTTGTCCAGGTGGGAAAGGGCAGTGTGGAGTGCGATAGAGATTGCATCATCTGTGGATCTGTTGGGGCGGTATGCAAATTGGAGTGGGTCTAGGGTTTCTGGGATTATGCTGTTGATGTGAGCCATGACCAGTCTTTCAAAGCACTTCATGGCTACAGACGTCAGTGCTACGGGTCGGTAGTCATTTAGGCAGGTTATCTTAGAGTTCTTGGGCACGGGGACTATGGTGGTCTGCTTGAAACATGTTGGTATTACAGACTCAGTCAGGGACATGTTGAAAATGTCATTGAAGACATTTGCCAGTTGGTCAGCACATGCTCGGAGTACACGTCCTGGTAATCCGTCTGGCCCTGCGGCCTTGTGAATGTTGACCTGCTTAAAATCTTACTCACATCGGCTACGGAGAGCGTGATCACATAGTCATCCGGAACAGCTGGTGCTCTCATGCATGCTTCAGTGTTGCTTGCCTCGAAGCGAGCATAGAAGTGGTTTAGCTCGTCTGGTAGGCTTGTGTCACTGGGCAGCTCGCGGCTGTGCTTCCCTTTGTAGTCTGTAATAGTTTTCAAGCCCTGCCACATCCGACGAGCGTCAGAGCCAGTGTAGTATGATTCAATCTTAGACCTGTATTGACTCTTTGCCTGTACTCTGGTCTTGGCACATGCGCTCTAGCCAACCAGTGGTGGAAAAAGTACCCAATTATCATACTTGAGTCTAAGTAAAGATACCTTAATAGAAAATGACTTAAGTGAAAGTCACCCAGTAAAATACTACTTGAGCAAAAGTCTAAGTATTTATTTAGTTTTACATATACTAAAGTATCAAAAGTAATTGTAAAAATATAAATCATTTCAAATGGCTTTTTATTTATTTTTATTTACGGATAGCCAGGGGCACATTCCAACAATCAGACATAATTTACAAACAAAGCATTTGTGTTTAGTGAGTCCACCAGAGCAGAGACAGTAGGGATGACCAGGGATGTTCTCTTGATAAGTGCATGAATTAGATCATTTTCCTGTCAAAATGTAACGAGTACTTTTGGGTGTCAGGGAAAATGTATGGAGTAAAAAGTACATTATATTCTTTAGGAATGTAGTGAAGTAAAAGTAAAGTACAGATACCCCCAAAAAACTACTTAAGCAGTACTTTACAGTATTTTTACACCATTGTAGCACACCAACTCGCAAATACTGTAGGCTAGACTACAAGAGATTATGGATAAGAGCGAGAACATCTTTGTCAAACAGCAGCCAAGCATCGATCATCATGTCACCAGAATAAGACCCTCAGTATTTATTGGAAAGGAGCATCAAGATCACTGTGCACTTTCACCACCCTGTGAAGTTCATCATAACTATTTCATCTGTAGCCTAATAAACTGCATGTTTTCCCGAATCGTTTACTTCCAAGTTTACTTCGAAATGGTTATTCTATCCATATTTGCGCAGAAAGGCATTTCCACCGCCATTTCTCACATAATTAATTTTACAGACACAAAGATCCCACCATGTCCAACGAACAAATAATCTGTCAGCATTTTAAAAATTTTACCGAAACTTCCTGTTTCTATGACAGCTGTCGTGATTTTATTTAATATACGGTATGACTAACTACATTTCCATCCAGTTATGTGAGTAATGTTCACAGGTTGGTATTCTGATAAAGCCAACCGGTCAGCATGTTCTCCAGTCAGTCGCCACTGACTTTTCTACAGTAAATGTTCCATTCTGTTCCAACACACACCTCAAGGGCTGGGCCCATGTTGACATTAGGAAGCAGAAACACCGCTGGGACTGTCCATGCTGCCCTGTTCTGGACTCTTCTCTGTTTTGGTAGAGTTTGGTTAGCGTAGCTAGCCACTTTAGCTTATGAGGTGGATCTCACGTTTCAGTGTTGGTGGAAGACAAAGGAAGAAACTCATTGGAAGAAACTTGCAGTAAGGAGAAACTCCAGGAATACTGCTGAAACTCGACGAACAAACATTGGGGAAATAGACATTGGGTGTTTATAGTTGGGCTTTTTCTTGAATCCAATTAGTGTGCCAGTAAGTGTGACTAAAGGGAAAAGGTTATGGGAAATGGATGCTTTACATGACCATTTGTGTCATAAATGGCACCCTATTCCCTATATAGTGCACTATTGACCAGAGCCCCATACGGAATAGGTTGCCATTTGGGACATAGCCTATGTCTTTGCATACAGGTTCATGTGATCACACATATTAGCTGCTCAGCTTACTTAATTGAAAGCCAAACAGAACATTTAGCAAATAGCGGAAAGTCAATTTCCATTATGTACGACTTCCAAAAATACATTATTGAAATTGAGTCAATTCTGGTTAAATTCTGCATGCAACACACATTCTTGGGATAGGACAGAGTCAATGGAGACTTCAACTGGGTACAACGCATCACACAAACACAGTTTATTACAAGTTTCAATTAAACATAAGGGAAATGCATGAAAGGCTGTGTTGGTTAATGTAACAGTTAAGTTACACACCAGATAACATGTTACACCAAATGTTGAAAATAGAGGTATAAATCACAGCACTCAGGTTAGGTGATGGTGAAGCAAGGCACACAGCACACAAGAGGAAGCTACTATAAAGCTACCAATGCATCAGATTTAAGGCAAATACAAACTGGCCTTCCCCTTTAAAATGTACACATACAAACTGGCCTTCCCCTTTAAAATGTACACAAATACAAACTGGCCTTCCACAAGGAAAAAGACAATACAAACAATGAAAAGGTTGTGCTATACCTTGTTGGGCTCCAAACTACCACACCAAGTTACAAACAATGAAAAGGTTGTGCTATACCTTGTTGGGCTCCAAACTACCACACCAAGTTACAAACAATGAAAAGGTTGTGCTATACCTTGTTGGGCTCCAAACTACCACACCAAGTTACAAACAATGAAAAGGTTGTGCTATACCTTGTTGGGCTCCAAACTACCACACCAAGTTACAAACAATGAAAAGGTTGTGCTATACCTTGTTGGGCTCCAAACTACCACACCAAGTTACAAACAATGAAAAGGTTGTGCTATACCTTGTTGGGCTCCAAACTACCACACCAAGTTACAAACAATGAAAAGGTTGTGCTATACCTTGTTGGGCTCCAAACTACCACACCAAGTTACAAACAATGAAAAGGTTGTGCTATACCTTGTTGGGCTCCAAACTACCACACCAGGTTACAAACAATGCACTTTACTTCGTACATTATTACGCTCAACAACAATACTCTAAAACACCTTCACTCCAAACCGACGTGGCAGCTTCCTCTCCCTGATCTGGCCTGCCCAGAGAACTCCATGTGCTTGTCTTTTAAAGGGAGGGGCACAGATGCTCAATCACCTTGTTACAGCTGAGATTAAGGCTATGGCCACATTGAGGTGTGGCTTGTGCAAGCCGGAAAACCTCATAGGAGTAGGAGCCTCTCTTGTTTCTGTAGTGTGAAGCAGCTTAATGTACAGTACAACCCCTGTACAGGGCCTGAACAAGGAGATGGATAAACAAGGATTAAATTGTATATGACAATATATATCATTGTCCGTTTTTGCCCGTCAAAAGTTTAACTCATCTCTACTTCTTGAATTGAATACTTATGAAGGCGGACATATTTTGTGTTTTTTTGACAGACAATCTGTTGTCATTCATCTGACAACGGATGACTCCCATTGAAAAACCATTGGCTCAATCTGCAATTTTCATACATAAAGGGTGCGTTCTCTGCTCAGGCTTTGCTGACGCATGCCAGATCTTACAACGTCTGCATAGGCATTTTACTTATCAGCTAACCACATATGTTATAGCGATCTGTCAGTTGACGACACAGTCGATGACGTGGCACGCAACCATTGGTTGATGCATGCAACGTCTGAGCAGGGGAAACGACCAAAATCTCAATGTGGCCGTACCCTCAGTTCTGACTGGCTGAGACTAGTCACGCGCTCCGCCTCCATTGCTGAGGAAGCATCCCTGCATCTTGATGTGGTAGGCATAGAACCTGAAAGAGTGAGGCTTTCTGGGGGATGTAGTCCGACCCTTAGGTGGTATAGTGTGTGTTGCCAGGTTCTGTGCCCTGTAGAACTCCGCTCTGGCATGGCAACAACTACAGCGACTCAACAACAAACACATATCCTTCCGAAACGCTCGAGTAAAGATGGTGTAGAGGAACGGGTTACAGAGGGAGTTGATTGGGTAGAAGAGGACGAGGAGGATCTTGGAGTGGGAGACGGTGATGAGGGGCATGCGGAGAGCCGCCGAGATGGCGAAGAAGGAGATGGGCGCCATGCAGAGGAAGTCGGTGAAGATGAGGACGGCCATGCGCTTGGCGATCTTGGCATCGCCGTGGCGGGTTGCTAGGTCAGGGTTGTGGATGGACAGGTAGATACGTACGTAGCAGTAGCAGACGATGAAGAAGGCGGTGACGTTGAGGAGGAGGAGGGCTACAACATACACCTGGGAGACTAGGGACTCGATGTCCATGGGCAGGCAGATCGACACCTGGAGGATAATACATCAAATCAATCAAATATATTTATAAAGCCCTTTTTACATCAGCAATTGTCATTAAGTTATTTTACAGTGAAAATAAAAATGCTGTGAATGTTCATCTACTATATAACACCATGGCTGTTGTGTGTAAAGTTCATGTTTGTAAACCTGGGCCTGTATTCAAAAAGCATCACAGAGTAGGATAGGATCAGTGCTTAGTCCTGGACTAAAAAGCAATGGAGATTGAAAGTGTTTTATAGTCCAGGACTAGCATTCGTCTGTGTCCGGGAAACCGGACGTTAAAAGTGAATAAAAAATATTTTGAAATTCTGATGACCTTAGTGTAGCTGCTGACCCCCAGGACAGGAAGCAGAGCAGCCAATAGGGAGAAGCACCACCCCCCAGCCATCATGATCACCACATGCCTCAGCCTCAGCCTCTTGTTGATGTGCATGGCGTTGGTGATGGTGTGCCACCGCTCTAACGTTATCATGGTCAGCGTGTAGACAGACAGCTCGCTGGCGAACACGGTCAAGAACCCCGCCACGCCACAGCCCATGCCAGTCTGCCAGTCCGTGGCATGGTTGTAGTACTCCTACAATAAAATACAACTATATTATTGGTTATAGACTAGAACTCCTAAAATAAAATACAACTTTATTGGTTATAGACTAGAACTCCTACAGTGAAATACAACGTTAGTGTTTAAATCAGAAAGAGTCATTACAGAAATACACTGAACTAAAATATAAATGCAACATGCAACAATTTCTAAGATTTTACTGAGTTACACAGTTCATATAAGGAAATCAGTCAATTGAAATAAATTCATTCGGCCCTAATCTATGGATTTCACATGACTGGGAATACAGATGCATCTGATGGTCAACTGGTAGAGCTGGTAGAGCACTGGTAGAGCTGGTAGAGCACGGCGCTTGTAACGCCAAGGTAGTGGGTTCGATCCCCGGGACCACCCATACACAAAAATGTATGCACGCATGACTGTAAGTCGCTTTGGATAAAAGCGTCTGCTAAATGGCATATTATTATTATTATTATTATTTTAAAAAAGGTAGGGACATGGATCAGAAAACCAGTCAGTATCTGGTGTGACCACCATTTGCCTCATGCAGCAGGACACATCTCCTTCACATTGAGTTGATCAGGCTGTTGATTCAATGGCTGTGCGAAGTTGCTGGATATTGGCGGGAACTGGAACATGCTGTCGTACACATCGATCCAGAGCATCCCAAACATGCTCAATGGATGACATGTCTGGTGAGTATGCAGGCCATGGAAAAACTGGGAAATGTTTTTAGCTTCCAGGAATTGTGTACAGATCCTTGCGACATGGGGCCATGCATTATCATGCTGACACATGAGGTGATGACGGTGGATGATACTGCCAAATTCTCTAAAAAAACTTTGGAGGCGGCTTATGGTAGAAATTAACATTAAAATCTCTGGTAGAGCTAGAGGTGTCACTACAGACCCAGGTTCGATCCCAGGCTGTGTTGCAGCCGGCTGCGACTGGGAGACCGGGAGGTGCACAATTGGCTCAGCGTCGTCTGCGTTAGGGAAGGGTTTGGCCAGCCGGGATGTCCTTGTCCCATCGCACTCTAGCGACTCCTTCTGGCGGGCCGGCCGCATGCACGCTGACTTCGGTCACCAGTTGTACGGTGTTTCCTCCGACACATTGGTGCGTCTGGCTTCCGGGTTAAGCGAGCAGTGTGTCAAGAAGCAGTGCGGCTTGGCAGGTTCGTGTTTCGGAGGACACATGACTTTCGACCTTCGCCTCTCCGGAGTCCGTAGGGGACAAGACTGTAACTACCAATTGGGGTAAAAAACTAAATAAAGGAAAAATCTCTGGCAACAGCTCTGGTGGACATTCCTGCAGTCAGCATGCCAATTGCACGCTCCTTCAAAACTTGAGACATCTGTGGCATTGTGTTGTGTGACAAAACTGCACATTTTAGAGTGGCCTTTTATTGTCCCCAGCACAAGGTGCACCTGTGTAATGATCATGCTGTTTAATCAGCTTCTTGATATGGCACACCTGTCAAGTGGATGAATTATCTTGGCAAAGGAGAACATTTCTGGGCTCTTTTATTTCAGCTCATGAAATGTAAATGTAAATGTAAAACATGGGACCAACACTTTACATATTGCGTTTATATTTTTCGTCAGTGTATAAACATTGGAAAGCAAGCATCACAGGGTCAGCCGCAGTGCAGCCCCTCTGGAGCAGTTTAGGTGTCGTGGTGGTAGGTGGTTGGACTACCACTCCCGTACATTGCGGGAGTGGTAGTCCATGGCTGCGATGAGGAGGAGGTAGAGCCCCATGCAGAGGTCTGCGAAGGCCAGGTTACACATCAGGAACCGGGAGACATTAAGCTTCTGGTGGCTGGTGAGGAGAATGATCAAAAATTGAAAAAAATATCAGCAATCACTTGAATATAATTTGCAATTGAAACATTGTTTTAATTATATTTATCTTATTTAAGCAACATGTCTTAGTAGACCAAACACTGTCAGTTTACGCAAGTGGATAAGAGTTGAGCACATTCTTTCCCATTCATTCCAATTGGACTGGTTTGGAATTTATCCCTGACCAAGATGGCTGCCATTATTCCTACACTCTAAAACTACGTGGGTCTATGCCAGCAAGTCTAGTGTATTATACATCTCTATGTTCTCTCCCTTTACCTGGGTTGTGACTATATGGAATATAGCTACAACCGGAAGATACTTTTTGTAGCAGGTTAGGAGATCATTTTAGCTAACCCTTTCCCTAACCTTAACCTAATTCGCCTAACCTGCTACATTCATTCTACTAACCTGCTGTGTAAGTTTTCCTAAACTGCTACAAAGTCACTTCCTGTCGTAGCTGTAGTACACCTAGTCAGAACCCTTTACCTGGTGATCAGTACGACCAGCACGGCCATGTTCCCGGCCACAGCGAACACGGTGATGAGCCAGGTGACTGAGCGGAGGAAGGAGTACCCAAGCAGGTCCTCACAGGGGTTGAAGGCGTCGGGCTCCGGGGTGCACTGGAAAGGTCCAGGACACAGGCTCAGCTGCAGGTCTGGGTAATGGAGGTTGATGTCATACAGGTCGGTCACATGGTCTGCTGAGAGGTCCCTGGAGAAAAGGGGAAGACAACATGGATTTGAGCAGAGCGGTTGAGACCAAGAAAAGAAAAGAAAATGGGCAAACAAGACTAAAAAACATTTTGCCAGCCTGTCAACAGCCTGTCAACAGAGACAGCTACATGTGTGCAGAACTTTCCCCTGATACATGCTGGAATAATTGTCTTACATGATTTCATCGTCGTCATCGCACAGCCTTCTGAGGTTCGGAGAGAGTGCAAGGACAACTTTTTCTCTTTGGATGGATAAGGAGAAAAACAGCAAGGTTAGAGTAGACTCTTGAATGACAACCTGTGTGTGTACCTGTGACGTGTACCCGTGTGTGATGTGTACCTACCTGTGTTTGCGTCGCCAGGTGTGGAAGGCACAGCAGTGGCTGGGATAAGTGACCTCTGCCACCTCCAGCTCTAGGAGGCTTTCCAGAGGGGGTAGAGTCTTCAGGTAGGGGGTAGAACGGGCGATCAGGACCTTCAAATGTCCCAAGCCTCGACGGGGGAGGGTGCGGAGAACTGTGGAGGAGATGTCACTGGACAACACAAACAGTAAACAGTAAACACAAGTCAAATGTTTATTTAATTTTTTACAATACAACTTTATTGTCCATAGTTACAGCGAACATGTTGTGGGGCTCAACGGCCGAACGGTAGGGGATTGTTGTTAGGGTGTGAATCCAGCAGCCCTCCAGTTGCCAGATCAATATCTCCCTTTTTTTCCCCCAGCACCCGGCCCGAGATTCCAACAGGCGACCTTTCGGCTACAAGTCTAACTCCTTAGTCACTGGGCTACCTACTGTCCCAGACCTAACCATAACCTTTCACCCTAACACACTTTTAACACACTTTTAAAAAAATGATATTAACAAAGTCAAGCAGGATGAAAACAAACAATACCACTAGACTAGACAACCATTACAATCTCATAAATACTGAGGTAGACCTGGCCGCCAAATTGTAGATTACAGCATGTCTGTGTCAACGAGCATCAACCTTGTATTGTTGAACAAGGATGAATAATCATTATGCCTAAGAAATCCCTCCAACGCACCATAAACCACAAGGTCTCTATGATAAAATTGATCAGTAGTCAGATTTTGTGTCCATGTAATCTTTGTTAAATGTATAACTCATGTGTATGTTTGAAATTGTCAGTTATAGATAGTGAAACAGGAAATACTGGGGCTCTGTGGAGGTCAGTGTGGCAGGAAGGATGTGAAACAGGAAATACTGGGGCTCTGTGGAGGTCAGTGTGGCAGGAAGGAGGTTTATATTATAGGAATGGACTATAATATTTAAGGTGAATTTTACATTATGGTTGTCAAAGTATTCACTTACAGCACAGTTGGCCCTGAGGCCCCCTCAAAGGCATCTTCATGGATGTTCCTCAGATATCTGTTGTCTTTCAGAATCCTACATGGGAAAACAATCAAACACATGGGATGAGGTCATGTTTGTCTTCATCACAGATTAGCACAAGCCATGACAGTTATATCCTTGCAATAACTGAGTGAAATATGGGCATTTTGCTGTTGGATTCTGTTTGACCCTTTTGTTTTCTCTTCTGTGAAACCTAATAAGTAGCCTATACTGTTTCTATGGATGCCCAACCGTTCCTCAGCTCAACTAACTAACTAACTTACTAAGCTTTGTTTGTTTAGACTCCTTGAAAGCAATTCTGGTGAGACCAAGACGCCACATTTCACCGCTACCGTCACAGTGTGGCATGGGAGTAAAATAAACAACATGGCACCCAATCAATGTTTTGTCTAACAAGACATTTATTTACTGGTACATTGAGTTTCTTTGATTAACCCAAGCCTTCGACACCACTCTGAAATAACAGCAAAACAGGCTTAGAAAAAATCACAACAGCAGCTCCTGCTGAGAGAGAGTATTTGTGTTTGTGTGTGTTTGTGTGTTTCAGGTACTTTGTTGTAAGAACTGAAACTCAGCAGCAGCGGAGGGATGTTGATTGTTTGAGGGGGATACATACAGTTTATCCAGATTTGTTCCATTGAAAGCGTGTGACCTGATTTCCTTGAATCCATTTTTTATAATTTTCCTGTAAGAAAAACATTTCTACGCATTTCATTTCAATTGGTTGTCAATATTCTTCACCATATCAATC